GAAAAGAATGACAACTTCCATAAATGCGATTACATATGTTGAGAAGAAAACAATAATACTCTTATTTGAAAAATTATCTTATGTTGCACTCATGGTCAACTCACTTCCCTTTTGGCCGTATTGAAGTCAAACATTGCAATGCTATAAAATTTAATATAGTCTCTAAATATGTAAATCTTAATTTCTAATTCTCATTAGAAGAGAAAAATATTCGAAGAGGTCAAACTTCAAAATTCGTTAGATTACTTTGTTTTATGGACGAAGATAGTAATAAATACATCAAACTTATGACTATCTATTTATGACTATGGTTATGAACTTATGACTATCTATTTATTATTATTTGCACAATAATCATGTGCTAGCTGTTTGTGCTGTTTGTGACGCAACGAGAGAGAAAGAGGAGTTGTCCTAAACAAGAAGTGAGTCGGGATCAAAGAGTACCATCGCCATGGCCTAATCTTCCCCTCCAAGTGACTGAATCTGTTTGTAACAGCATCACCGGATTGGGTGGCATCACCAAGTCATGGAGATCATCATCCTCTTGCCTTCTTAAAACATCCTATTTTAAACAATATCCAGAGATTATAGAAACCAATATACCTCCTCATGTTCGAATGCCCCAACCTAACTCTCTGCCCGAAGACGAACCGGGAACCATATTCTACAAAGGCGGGAACAGAAGTGAACTCTGCCATGGCTACTTGAAATGATATTCCTAGGCTTGGCTTGTTTCACTTCTCTCTGATTTCACTGTAAGCAGTGGGTTTCCAAAATGGAACAGCTCAGTTCCCTTTAAGTTCGCCACCTTATCGTCAACACCGTTTCCGTAAGGCGCAACACCTTCTGAAATGTAATGGTCATCACTGGTGTGAGCTCTCCTGCTTTTGCCTTCTACGTACTCCCAACAGTTCAAGCTCTAAATTTGGAAACTCGAGCTTCACTTAACTCTAACTTCGAACTGTTCAAACTTGAATAAGTTCATTTTTTTTTTCATTTTGTTTATTAAAAACATAACTCCTGGCTCGCACTTTTAATTTATAAATTATAATTTATAAATGAAATTATACTCGGTATTAGTATATGATTAAAGTATAAAATCGAAATTATATTATACTTTCATAATGGAAAACCTCTTAAGCACATATTTGTAAACGGGAACTTTTCAGCTCATGTTTCTTTTATATTTAACTTGACATAATTGAAAAAAGTCACCATTTGAGTATGATAATTACATAAACGACACCTGATGAGGCAGGCTTAGCCATTGATTATAAAATAAAGAGAGACATTAAATGTTCTCATAATAAAATGTGTTTATGAAACGAGTGTATACTCTTAATTAGGTTTGTGGGGCATTAGACTGAGCAGTGAAGAACTTGAATTTGGATTGACTCATTACTCGAGCGGTTCAAGCTCGGACTCATCAGAGAATTTGAATTGAATTAAAAAATATTCACATAAACTATAGTAGCTCACAAATAGGATTAGTTACTCATGTAGTCATGTGCATATATACTTTAATACAGGTCATGGAAAATGAAATATTGTACTATAATTGAGCCGTATTCATCAGTAAGGATCATCGGTACATGGAATTCACTAATGCTATTGGATTTCAAGGAAAGTTCTATGCAATCAGCCGACAGGGGAGTCTTGCACTTGTAGAAGACGAGGACAAATCTGGTGATCTTCAGATAACTGCTCTAGGAAGAAGACGGTTATTCCTTCTAAGCTATCAATACACTTCAAGGAGTTCTTGCTGGAATACAAAGGAGAAATCTTTTTAGTGTTCTTAGTATCATCAATAGATGAGGTGGATGACGTTGAAGTTCTTCGACTGGATGAATCAAGGTTGTCATGGGAAAAGGTGGAGAGGCTTGAGGGTGACGCAATGTTTTTCATGGAGGACAAATGTAGCATGGGAATTTCTGCAAGTCTTATAGGATGCAATAGGGGAGGAAACTGCGTTTATTTTAATACTACTAGTACTACTCATCAAGATGAAGATGGAGGTGAAGGTCATACCTGGTTTGTTTTTGACATGAAAACAAGCTGCATTTCACCTACATCTGAACCTCGGATTGACCATTGACATTTCTTTTACATAATTCATCTTCTGTAATGTTGCTTTTTCACATGTTATCCAATCAATATCTATATAAATTTGTTTATTCAAGACTTCAAACTCATTTTACTAAATTGAGTAATGATCCAAACGAAGCATCATGAATCAGTCAAGTAATATTCATTACAGCAAAAGCTTACAGTAATAACAGCACCAAGATAATAAGTACTATACCATTGATCACTAATTAAACAGTGTAGAGATGATGAAGAAGGTCGGTCAGAGGGACAGCCCAGACTCCTCGTCTTCCTCCAGTCCAGAAGTGTAGACCATGTAAAGTGACCAAGTTAGCCCCAGCACCCCCAACAGTATCCACCCTAGAAGATTGTTGCTCAGCCCGAACGGAAGCCCCGTCCCCTCCGTGCCCATCCTCTCATCCACCAACGCCATGGCTGCCGGGCTCGTCATCACAACCGCCGCCGCCGACATCAAGGACGCACCGCCCGTCCTCAACTCTGACTTCCTCTCCGTCTTTCTCTCCATCGAACATCTCGTCTTCGCCACCTTACTCATTGCCGGCAACCCTCAAAATTGAAATGAAAAGCTATTGTCAATTCATCGAGGGAAGATCAACATTACAAATTAATCTCAAAACTACTCAAATAAAACTCCTGATTCAATTAATTTTGAGGAAAAGTTTTGGATATGTAATATTACGAAGACAAAAATGTTAATAGAATCAAAAGCTAAACATACCAAGAGCGGAGGAGGGGCGTGATGCGGGGGATTTCGGCACGAAGGAAGCACGAGCTAGAGTGGAAGCTGAAGAGCAGGCAGAGATGGTGGTGGCCATTTCTGTTCTGGTTTTGATTAATGAGAATGAGATGGTGGAAGAAGACCAAGCTCTGAGTTACTTTACTGTGTTTTCAGTTTGATTTTGAGGATGGAAGGAATTTGCAGATTAAGGGTTTGTTTGTTTGATAACACTAGTAGCCAGCCACACAAAAAAGAGATGAGAGATGACACCCACCTCATCCACTCCAAGCCAGTCATATTTGCCCATGTGACATGGCATCTTTGTTGTGCAAGAATTTTACTGGAGTGAAATTGGGAGACCATCTCTACATTTTGGTTTTATGTATATCTCGAGCTCTAGACCTATTAATTGGATGATTTTTTCTTGAAAAGAATTGGATATTGAACAATCAAATATTTTTTCTCCTTTGGATAGAAAAAATCATTTGATGCTTTTATCTCTTACCCAAATGCAAGACTTTCATTATTTTGAGTACATCATTATTTTCTAAATTTTCCATATTTCACATGTTTAACCATTAGTTATAAGTAGTTCTACATGCTAAAAGTTGCGTTGCATTCCCTTGTTTAACCCCTTGGGTATAAGTATTTTCTTCGCGCTAAGAGGTTTGTCGCATTCACTTGTTTAACCTCTTTTAATTTGTATAAGAACTTCATGCACACTAATAGGTGTGTTACCCAACACATTTCAAAGGAGATGTGCACTTTTTCATGTATGTCACCGGACTTTCTTGAGCGGAAAAATGACCAAATTTTCATTTCGCCTTTGTATACAGATAGATATATAGCAAAATTGTTGAAATCTTGCACCACTAAAATAAGGAATAATAAAATGTTATCACCTTTTATTATGGAACCCATATTCTTACAAAATTTTCATGCATAAACATTAATTTTCATCATTAGATAATTTTAAAAAAAACATCGTAGCTTAAGTCAGTTTTAGCGTTTCTTATATGGAAGATGCTATTTGTACGCGTTTTTTGTACACACCATTTTACACGTCGGTCAAATTGTTCATGTACAGACAATTTTTTTCGTTTTGCAAAGGAAATTACTTTTCACACCGTCACTTTTTTTATCTGTCGCACAAACAAAAAAATGTCGATGCGAAAATAAATTCTCTTCACATAACGAAAAGAAAATGTCTGTGCACAGACAATTCGACCGGAGTTTAAAATGACGTGTACAAAAAACGTGTGCATGAAACATGTTTGTTCTTAAATATGGAGTATTGATTTTAGAGCATCTCCACACTATATTGTGCATGGTGCACATGTGGCATGAGAGATATTATGGGTGGACTCGGGTCGGGCCTAGACCCGGGCGACCCGGGTAGCCACCGGGTCCGGGCCGGGTCTCGGGCCACTTCCTAATTTTTTTTCTTCTAATTAATTCCCTAATACCACCTCCCACCCCCACCCCCCTCACCACCCCAAATGGCCCAAAACACCCCGCCCAACCCTGAAAAATAAAAAAAAAATTGAAAAAACAAAAAAATGGCCCGGAACCGGGCCCGACCCGGCCCGACCGATTCATCATTTGGCGGACCTGAGCCCGCACCGTAAAACCACCGGGCCGGGCCTACCCGGACCGGTCCCTGGCCGGGCCACTGGGCCAGGCCGGGCCGGAACAGTCCCGGGCCGGTTCCGGGTCGGACCACCCGGCCCGAGTCCACCTCTAAGAGATATAGATACAAAAATTAAATTTATGACATTTCTCTCTTCTTTCCACGAGCTTATGTGTTTTTGGTAAATTCTTGTTAATAATGTCAATCACAATGTCTACATCTAGACATTGTGCTTGATATTGTGAGAAAAAACTTACCAAAAATATATAAAACCGTTCAAATAAAGAGAGGAGTAATTCTATTTGTTGTTTTTAATTAGTTATTTCTAATGTCATATACTTCGTATGTATCATTCACGTTTTTACATTGGAAATGCTCTTAGTCCCTACTATAGTTATGTTGACTGACTTATGGAGTACAGGACTACAATCGGTACAAGTGTGTGCAACCAACATAGATTGACCTGGAAAAATTATTAGTGTAAGATTGTAGATATTTCTGAAAGGAGAAGTGTTGATAACCTTCACTTCAGCCAAAAAACTGGGCGAAAAGCTTTCTTTGGACGATCCTATATATTCTGATAAAAAAAAATTGCTACCAAACACAACCTAAAACCTCTCAAGAACAGAATGCATTATATTCCTGTAAAAAATATTGTCAGGGCAAGTTTCTCTCTCGAAATTTACACAAACTATAATGAATACAAGTATTCAAAATTTTTGGGGTATGTGATTTGTATGTGTATTTTAACTGTGTATGTTGCACTGCTGAAGATAAGGGTGCTCATAGTTTAAATGCTTCTTCCAATATGATTTGTATTTCTCCATCACCAAATCGAGCCATGGTTTCATCGGCCCATCAAAATGTATAACCGCTGCCCTCTCAATCTCGGCTTTCTCCCTGCTGCTGGAGTCATCATAGCCTAACCCAAGGAGATGCCATCTTTTGTCCAGCGCCGATGTTTGATTGTAAAAGGTTATCCAACCTATTGGCAAACTACCAGCTTTCAATATCGGATTATTGCTTCCCTATACCATCATAATCCAAAACACCAAAGAAAAAAAGATTGGAGTTATAATGAATAAAACTATAAAGAGTTGAATGAAAATGAAAACAGAGAAAATCAGGAGGAAATAAAACATGGGGGTAAAGAGGTTGCTAAAGATTGTTTACCAGCTGCGCATACTGGTGATAGACTCCGGTTAAATTTAGCATCCTCCATTGTTGCAGATCAAACAAATTCATCCCAAATGCCCATGTGCATGTTTCCTTATCAAACTTCTTTCCCATGTTGGGGTTAGTGAAGTTGACAAACGCATCCATCCGGCGGAATGAAGGGTCTCCTTGTTCACAGGTCTGTACAGCTCCATTCACTTTACCCATCATGTTAATGCGCCAAAGAGCCGATAGATCCTTTTGCACAACTACATCATGGTCAAGAAAGACAATCTTGTCTAATGAAGGGAAAATATCTGGCAAATAAAACCGTAAGTGGTTCAATGCAGACATATATCTCGGATTAAGTGAATCTTGCATCTGTAGATTTGTTTGGTATTTGGTGTGTAACCATTTCATATTGTCTATACTCTGGATATGAATTGTTGCTTTGCCTGGAGGGTTCAACAAAAACCACATTGAGATTGCAGGCAGGGTAACAGAATTTGTGACTATGTGGAAGACAACTCTCTCTGGATCCTGTCAAGCATATCAAAGTTCCTCATCTTCAGTACATGTGTAATGGAGAATCTTTTTTTTTTAATTTCCATGTATCAAAACAACATTTGTCCATTTAAGGCTTACTTTATAAACACCTCCAATGACGTGTATATATTTACAATAGAGTGCATGTATCCAAAAGTGGTGTTTTACTAAAACAGCTCTCAATTACGAAGTATGTAGTATTATTTACAAACATTTCTTTCTTGGAACCCTCTGTCTTTTTACTAAAAAGGCATGTCCAAGTAAATTGATATGCTATAAGAAAATGACCAATTTAATCACTATATCAATACAAAGCCTCCTAGAGAGTGAAAGATAAATAAGATGAAAGGAAATAAATGCACCCCATCAAGAAGAGATGAAGTAAACACAAACATACCTTAGCAGATGAAATGGTTGAGTTGACAACAACAGAACATGCCAAAATGTTGTCAGAAAATAGAGCAAAGTGATATCGATCTGAATGATGCAACTTATGTTGGTTAGGGAGTTCTCTCTCATTGGGCGTGAGGGAGAAGTATTCAGCAGTCAATCGCATGGAGAGGCAATGCAGGCCCTTAGGTGTAGATCTTTCAGCTTGCCGTAGAAGAAACCCAACATAATTCTTATGTGCTTTGACTTGCTGTTCAGTAGTATCTGTCATTGCACGAAGTTTTTTCACCATAGGTGGGCATTCAGGGAAGACGTGGCTAGCCTTTGATAAGGTCACTTCCATCGCTTTCATCTTCTGCAAAGCCCTGAAAAAAGGCAAACTAATTTGTAGATGAAAAATGCAACTTATTAATTGTTGAATGAAAAAGTTTTATTTTTGCTCCCTCAACTATTAGGTCATTCCTTGCATTTTGGTCCACTAGTCTTATTATTTTCATTATCCGCTCATGGCTATGGACTTGTCCATTTTTATCCTTTCCAGACACCTATGCGCCTAACGTCACCCAAAAATTGTGCAGACTTTGGCCAGAAACGTGGTCGGAAGGACCACAAGTGGAAAATTTTGTTAATGGAATCCAGAGAACAAATTAATTACCAAGAGACCATGATTCATGAGAACTAAAATAATCGCCATTGAATTATGTAAGAAACCAAGCATTTAAATAACATTGTACTAAGATCACCATGGACCAGACCTTGTAAGAATAAGGCAGTACCTAGGACAAATATGGAGTTTATGCTTCGGAAAAGGAGGGTCAACTATCAGTCTGTCACTAACATAAGTAGGATACCCGGACCTATCTGATTCACTTAAATATGAGCATTTGGGAAAAGGACCTAATATTGTATCTTACTTCCGAGACAAATCTGAATCCTTAGTACTGTCGCGTATAGCTCTTTCCAGATCTTTGACTCGCAGCTTCATCTCTTTCACAAAATGAGATTTGCTACCTTGTGGAGTAAAACTCAGGTATAACCTTGCTCTAATAAGCTGATCTTTCATCTCCTTTAACTTCGCATCCAATGGCTTCTGGGAATGGGACTTCCCACTATTATCATTTTGATACGTTATTGACTCATAATGTTCCTGCAATTAAACCATATACAACAAAGTTGGTAATCAATTATAACTCGAGAGCCAAAGGAATGGGTAAGTTGACAGTATTTACCAAAAAACTGCTGTGAGGGGGAGAGCCAATGAAAAGAATTTATACTAAGTGTCCCATAAAAACAACCCAAACCTTGAATCTTAATCATCAAAACTAAAAAACATATTCATCCTCTGATCAATATCCCTACCACCATAGCAAGTGCAATACTAATAAATACAAGTGTTTTTCAGTTTGATCTTAAAAACTTCAAATCCAGACACTAGTGTATTCAGAAAAAGTCACGCAGGGTATTAGTTCAACAAAAATTAGACAACTTGAACTCTTACATGCAGGAATGAAATACACTACCACTATATGCTAGTCAAGAAAAGGCACATAAGAATCATAACCATCAGCCATCAATTAAAACAAAAATGCGAAATTCAGCATCTCATCTGAAAGTGAAATGGAACATATGATAAACATCTATTATAGTCTACGAATAAAGGAAAAGCATCTATATATTTAAGAATCTAAAGTTTCAGAAAGATGGCTTCTCAACAGAGCTAAAGTATGCTTCACCCTGGGAACGACCAATACAGTGCTTGGGAGAATGTCAGTGTAAGGAATTACGGAGGTAAGGAACAAGTGTGTCAAGGCTCCCCATGGCCCCATCTATATTGCACAAGATTATGAGTATAATTTTAAGCAGTTAGAATTCATACATTTCCCTTTGATTTCGGTTCTACTCCGTCATTCTGACTGCGTTGATTCTCTTTTTCAATAACTTGCATGTTTCCTGAAACAAGTTAACAACTGAGTGGGCAAGGATGGATTGATAATATAAAAAGAAGAAAACAATATACTCTATAATGATATTGGAATACCACACACCGTTTTCTCCCAAGGTTGAATTGCTTGTTCTTTTGGGCTGACCAGACCTATTAATCTCAATTACAGGACTGGTCCTAAACTTGTCGTCTTTGTAAACAGCCCGGTGTGGCTCTTTCACATCTTCGGCTTCTTCCTATGCCATATCAAAAAGTTCATCGAAATAAGTAAATAAGTAACAATGCCCAGTAATCGCATGCACATCTAGACAAAACTTAGAAATTTATATTACCTCCTCCATTGCACGGGAGGCATAAGCGTCTATCCTATGCTTCTGAATCATGAAAGGTCAAGTGTTGAGTCAATGATGTAAGAATACTATTCTTTTCTCGAAAAACACTGAAAAGGTACATATGCAAAAATAGTGTGATCATGAATGAAGAAAAGAGGAAACCCAAGAATCTCAAGGCCTTTTAAGATCACCGCTCTAGATTTCTAGAGGTAAGCCCAAAGAACAGACGTAGATGTATTGTGTTCATGATTCAGAACAAAATTGAGAATAAATGTGAACTCAATTCCTCCAATCAAATAAACAAATTATACTTAGTATTTACTTATTTCACAATAAAAAATAAACTTAGAGAAGTACCAATTATCTTGCCTATTTCATTCATGCCAATCGTACACCAATCATGAATAAAATAATGTAAACCCTACTCAGGATGTTAAAAACTTACAATAATCGATAAATCTTCGACAAACTCTCCGGACTCTGCGCCCAGTCAAATATGAAAAGAATCAGGATTAACAAGGCCAAAACGGATACTGTTCGATCACAAGCTTAAGAAGTGAAAATTAAACACTGGAATTCTGGAAATGATACCGACCACGAACATGAAATCTTTTTATCTTGTGATGTAGGACGAAGATAGGAACGCCAACAGAGACGGCGAGCAAGAAGAGGATGAAAATTCTCGTGCGTCGATGGAATTTCCTCATTTTACATCTACGAAAGGCGCATAAGTATTATCCTAAATCTCAATCGAGTTTAGCAAACTAGTGGTTTTAAGCATCCACACTGCAAGTCCAATTGCATACCGATCATGTACATATAACTGTATAAGACCACTCTCTGCATCTGTCTGACTAGGGTTTTTTCCTATTCGGTCGGCAAAGGAGGTAAGTGATTTCAACAGCTAGAATGAATAGATTTGATTGGAATGTTGAAAGGGATGAAGACGGAGCGAGAGAAGTGCCATGTTCGCATGTTCAAGCAAGCAAGGGACGAGATTCCGTTCAAAAAAGGAAGTTGTTCATTTGTTCTTTAATTGCCTTTTTCGGGAATTTATATTTTCCTGTGGGACTAATAGAAGTACTACTGTTTTGGAGGGGGATTTGAATTGAAAGGGTCTTATTTAATACTACCTCGTCCCTTAAAATTTTGCCAAAGTTGACCGGCACGGAAAATAATAAAGTCAAAACTGTGTGCTTGAGATTTGTGCAGAGGGGAAAGAAATAACAGAAACCACAAAATAATTGATTAAAAAGGAAAGTGGCAAAATTTTTTGGGACGTTCCAAAAAGAAAAGATGACAAAGTTTTAAGAGATGGAGGGAGTATAGTTAAGTGTTTTCTGATCTAGTCTGAATTGGTTTGATATACTTTGAAATTTTAGAAGATGTCTGTGTTTTGTATATTTAAGTCTTGTCTAATCTAGTATGTTAAATTCTAATTTGGTCTGGTCAGATCTATTTAAGTCTGATCCGATATGTGATTGAAATAATCTAAATAAAAACATCTTAACAAACCAAAAACTACTTGAAGTACCACTTATAGTTTGGAACCGTTCAGAAACATCAAAATTGACCAAATATTTGAATCTATTAAAATTGATGAAATTATAACTAAGTTGTTGAGTTGGCTGAATATATTGAATTGATTGAGGTACCGCTTATACGGGCCTGCTTGGTGACCTTTGTTCTCATCTTATCAATCTTAGCAGTCAATTTTTTTTACTAAACACGTAAGTTTTAATTTTGCATTGATATGTAATAATCAAAATAAGTAAGGTCAAAATTATTTCCCTGATTGAATTGATTGAAGTTATTATAGAAGATTATTTTAACTACTATTCATATAATATTTTTCATTATTTTATCAATGAAAATATATTTTTATATAATGTTTTCATAATTCAAAAGAAAGTATTACACTATATTTTAACTGATAAAGCTGATATGTTCAAAGAGAAATCATCAAATAGCTCTCAATTACTCTATTTTTTTTCTTTTCACTCATTCATTTAGAGCCCGTTTGGTAATATTCAAATCAGCGGTATTGGCTGATTTTGCTGAAATTTATGAAGTTTTGACTGAATTGGTTGATTCTGCTAATTTATGAAAAAAAAAATATTTAAAATATACGGGGTGTTTTATTACTCTAAAATAAAGAAAGAACTAGAGTAACACCCGGGGCATGCCCCGGTAGTGACACTTTTATAAGTACTACTTATGTCTCATCTTATGTGTCTTATTTTGATTTCAGGGGTGTGATCTACTTTTGTTTTGATTCGAGAAGTAACCTCCAAATTTAAGGAAATTGTATTATGGGCTTTATCTATTTTTGTTTTGATTTAGGAAGTAACCTTCAAGTTAAAAATAAATCGGAAGGGGTAGTTTTTGAGATTCTTGTAACTCTCCAAAATACTTCAAATGACATTTTTTAAATTCTCCAAAAATGAGAGGTTTTGAAGGATCGCAAATTAATGATAATTTTAGTTGAACTCAAAATGAATATAAATTCAAATATTATACGTTTTAAACAATTTTAATTGTAATTTCTCTGTAACCTCTCCTCTCACCTCAAACTCCCAAACATACACTTAAATCTCTTTCATACAAAAAATCAAGTAGAAACAAAATATAATGTTCAAAATAGTTATTATCTAAACAATAAAAAATATGTAGTATATGAAATTGGCAATTCTATCATGAAAATATAATTCAACTATATATTGTTTTATATAATTAAACTAAGTTATAACAGAATAGTGAAATTAACTGAATTGACTGAACTGAAGTGATACCAAAAACGTTTGGTAATATTGAAATTAGTTGTATTGCCCGGATATGCTGAAATTCAAATTGAATTGACTGAATATCTTGAATTGTGAAAAAAATAAATTTAATATGTATTTTATTAGTGAAACAAAGAAAAAAATATGAAGTATTTATATAACTATGACTAAAATAAAGAGTGTGTATATATATATATAATATGACATCTTAAGTGCAGTGACTATAGTAGTCATTTAGTCGTAATAACTTATGCTCAAGTTTTACACTTAACTGATTGTGACATTATACTCAGGGGCGTAGTTAGGGGAGGGACAGCCTTGGCCCTGGCCTAGCCCAAATTTAAAAAATGTCAAATTTTTTAGTGTAAAAAATTCCGTGTGAATTTTTTTTCAAAAATATTTTTTTTACCGGCCCAGTGTACTGGCTCCGCCCGTGATTACACTTATAGTAGCTTTAATCATATTACTGTAAATAGGTTTTATTTTAGTACTCCCTCCGTACTACTTTAGTTGTCCCATTTGTTTTTCACGGAGTTTAAGATAATTACTATAGACTTTATAAAAAGCAAGAGGATTTTGGTACTGTAGCTGTTTTTTGAGTGAGTTTTCTTTACAAAAGAAAAACGGAACAATTAATTTGATACGTCAAAAAAGGAAAGTGAGACAACTAAAGTGATACGGAGGGAGTAATATTTTCCAAAAAACTCTAAAATTGTATGAAAGTATAGCTAAAATAGTTATCTTCACCAATTTCAGCCAAACTTGGCTGAATCGGCTAGAAAAGTAACTCGAGAGCCCGTTCGTTAATACTAAAATCGGCTGATTCTGCTGAAACTTATGAAGTTTTGACTAAAGCGGCTGGATTAACCGATTCTGCTTGTTTATGTAAAAATTATATTTAAAATATATTTTATTAATAAAATAAAATAAAATATAATGGCTAAATTATCCTATACAGTAACTTCAACCAACACAGCAAAAATGTAACTATAATCCGGCTTTTTCTTATTATAACATAATTCAGCGTGCAAAATCATAAGTTACGTATTTGATGAAAAAGTTGACTGGTGAGCTTGATATGCCAAAAAACATGGTTGCAAACGAGCTTCTAATCTTACTTATTTTGATCATTACATAGGCTATGTTTGGCAGGCATAAGTCTCTACCTTTTAGTTTTTGTACTGTTCAAAAAGTCTCTAAAAGCTTCTAGTTATATGTTTTGACATGACAATTTTTAAGAGCTTTTCAAAAATTAAAAGATCTTTTTTGAGATGCTACAAGGAGTAACATCTGAAAAAAGCCTGTGACTTTTAGTACTCCCTCCGTCCCGAAAAGGTTGGCCAAAGTTGACTTTCACGTGGATTAATAAAGTAAAAACTTTGTGGTTGAAATTTGTGAGAGAATTAATTTTAGCCACATATTCCTTACTTTAAATGGAAATGACAAATCTTTTTGGGACATCCAAAAAAGGAAATTTGGCCAACCTTTTCGGGACGGATGAAGTATTAATCAGTCCTAACAGCTTGTATACCAAACCGAACTAAATCAAACAGTTAGCTTTTTACCAAACAGCTACCACATTTTCTCTATAAGATCTTTTCGGGCACTAAAAGCTAACAGTTATTAAAAAACTCACAAAAATATCTTTTCAGCTAGTTGTGCCAAACATACCCATAATACAATTCGCGCAATAAAATTATGTGTTTGGTATAGAAATTGGCAGATAAGGTTGATAAGCCAAATATATAGAGGTTAACAATAAGCTTTTTATTTATGTATTATTTGGTATGAAAGGAAGAAGATATAGAAACGAACGCAAATTACAGGATGAAGAGACTATTTGGTGACTGTATTTCTCGGCTTATTAGCATTCTCGGTGAAATATGTAATAATAAAAACAAGTAAGGTTGAAAGTATTTTCCTGACTAAATGGGTTGAAGTTAATATAGAGTATTTTCATAAAAGTTTTCTTTATTTTATTAATGTATTTTAAATTTAATTTATCATAAATCAACATATCAATCCATTCACTTCAATCCCCCTTCATAAATTTCAGTAGAATCTGTTGATTCAATCAATTTCGGTGTTATCAAACCGATTCTAAGAGGAAGATTATAGGAAGAAATTAATAAGTGGGTGAAGTTTTGGAACCATATGGTTAATCTGGTATAATATGCATGCATCGATTGTTTTTCTTTTTTTGAAAGCTCTTATTTTTTGTTGAAGAATTAAAAGTATTGTATGAATTAATATTAGTATTTTAGTAGTACTCGGTGGTTTTTTTTGGTTGTATACTCGGTGATTAATTAAAGAGTCCAACAATTATGGCAATTAATTAGCATGTTAGTTGCTATTGAAGAGTCCCAAAACAAATGAATTACGTTGTATTCATTGGTTAATTAAATGTTATAAACGTTTTGTTAAATAATATATTTGTTAACGAATTAGAGAATACACGTAAGCATTTTATAACTTAGTTTTATTATATAAAACAATAGATTATATGAAAAAAAAACTAAAATGATCTTCTACAGTAACTTTAGCCAATACAGACACAGAAGTAACTTCAACCTTACTTGAGCATTTTATTATGTAATTTAGCGCGTGAAATAAAAAATTATGTATTCCTAAAATGATGAGCCAGATAAGGTGAAAATATGGTCACCAAACATGCTTTTAATTGCTTTTTAACGGTTGAGGTAAGATATGTCCATACACACGTAGGACCTAGAGCACATGAGTCATTGACAGCGCCAGAAAACAAACAGCACCATCTGTCTAACCAACCAATCATACTGCAATACTGCATACTCCCTCTAAGCCAAGAAGGATGCATATTATTAACCTCTAAGCAGATTTTAATCACATCATTCTTACTTTATTACTCTCTTTGATTCATGATTGGTGAATTTTATGGATTGGATATATATGTACCTGCAACAACACCATACAACCTCCTTGTAGCTACCACTCACCTAACTCTCACAAATAATTGCTCCCACCCCATCAGTCCTTGCATTTGAACTTTCTGCTCATTTGCAGTAAAATAGTATAAACAAAGAAGAAGATCCAGAAACTGGCATATATATCTTCAACTCCATTTGCCTAAAGATTCAAACTTTGGTGAATGCTGAGAAGATGAAAAGCTCTGTAGTGTCAAGAAGCTGGGCTGTGTTCGACAAGAATGGGGAAAGCGCAGTTATGGATTTGGATAAGTACGGAATCATGAAAAGGGTTCCCATTCACTCTCGGGATCTTCGCATTCTTGACCCTCTCCTCTCCTATCCATCTGCCATTCTTGGCAGAGAAAAAGTGATTGTTCTCAACTTGGAGGTCAGTCACATCAGATTCTAATTGAAAAGGTCATTGTTTCTTCTTCTTCTTCCGATCTGAATGAACTGTAATTCATCCTTTTCGCAGCATATCAAAGCTATAATTACTTCCGAAGAGGTAATTATCATTCTCACTGCCTACTTGCCTCAACTTGGAATTGACTTTCTGTTATTATTATCATATCTCATTTGGTCATAAAGGTGGAATCTCCCACCCCAGGAGCCCCCATACCCCGACCCGAGAGGATTTTTGGGAGTATGTTAATCACGGTGACTCAATCGGCCCAATGATGGTAGACATTTTTCCCGTTCGCACCAGAGGCTCAGCCTTATTTCAGGGTCTGACCTCCAAACGGTCGCTGGTTTCGAACCTTGGTCACTTGGTCCAAATTTCCCACCACTGAACCAACTGATCTACCCGTGCGGGTTTATTATCATATCTCACATATCATTAGTGGTGGGGAGACTCTACTTGTTCTTTTGTAGAGCTATTAAGTGTACATTTTTAATACACATTTTATACGTTTGTTCACGTACACAGACTCGCTCAGCTTTCTGTAGACTAATTGTCTGTGTACACACATAAATTAAAGGGTGTGCATAAAAAGGGTAAAAAAAAACAGATACGCTCGTAATTTCCCATTATTTTTACCTCTTTTTAATTATTAAAAACGCATTGTGAAAGCAATAATACGAGGAAAATGTAACTTCTACACATTTTTGTGTACATGTGATCATAAGTTTTGTTAATATCAGGAGCAATTTGTCTGTATTACAGGTAATTCATTTGAAAAATGTAAAAGTTATTGGTAATTTTACTGTATAATTCAGATAACATAAAAATTTACAAAGCTTGTACAAATAATATATACACCAAACATGTAGGATTGTAGGTATTATAATTGGGGTGAGACTCGTTCTTATTTTTTACCTCTTTTTTATGTTTGAAAGAACATTGACAAAGCAATAAATGCCCTCTATGTCCCAGACCCGACCAACATTGACCTGCACGTATAGCTACATTACATTGCTTACAAATACTATAGCATGATTAGAATACCCATATCGACTACAGAGTACATGCTTTCTTCTAAAAAACAAGGATGACACCGACTCGACGGTATGTTGGGAAGATGTAATTGGACTATAATCACAATCTGACAAATAGAGCCCCCGTTAGTTGCAGAGGCCCTATGCATTTTTTAGCATAATAACCTCTCATCTCATTTGTCGGGATTCGAACCCGAGACCTAACGTGTGGCACTCACTCGCTACGAGTTGAGCTACGCCCACCGGCAAGTACATGTTTTCTTCTTAACTACTAATTGTAGTGATTTAACTACTAACTTTGATCGGTAGTATATTTCATTAAATGTACAAATTAGTATAAAATCATGTTTTTAAATTTTTTTGAAAGTGTTTTTAAAAATTTAGATGTAAGGAAATCCTTCTCCAAAGGTGGAATCTCCCACCCCGAAGCCCCCCACACCCTGACTCGACATGGCACGTGGGAGGATGTAAATCACGGTGACTCAGTCAGCGAAGTAGCAGTAGGCCCATATACCGTGCGCACCAGAGGTCCAGCCCATTTCAGAGGCTGTAACCTCCACACAGTTGCTACATGATTCGAACCATGATTGCCCTGATCGAAATTCTCACCACTCATTCAACTGAACTATCCGCGCGGATGGAAATCCTAAAATATTTTACATAGTACTCGTATCATTTTCCAATACATTATTTTTCACATAGGTTCACATACTCGTATCATTTTCCAATACATTATTTTTCACTTGGAGTAAATCACAAGGATACCAAAATGTTGTAGAAAAATGTAAATAATACTCCATAGGAAAAGTAATACGACAAAGTGTGAAAATATGTGACATAGTAGAAAAAGTAAGAAAATTTATGTACATTTTTCCGTGTCGGAGTTTGTCAAGTTTGACTTATACGTGAAATAATAAGTAAAAATTGTGGAGAGAGAAAAAAAATTAGAGAGTGAATTTGTCACTTTTAAGGTTAAATGCAATAAGACAAGTAAACAAAGTTGTAATTTTTCAGTAAAACTATAGTAGTATCTATAGATATAAGACTTACCAAAATATAAAAGTATTGCAAATAATAAAATACTTCTGAAAACATATGTTGCGACTAATAAAAAATATAGTATAATGGAGTACTATATTTGGTAATATTTGCATGATTTAAATTCATGCATATTTTGCAAATTTAGTATTCCATATATATATCAACCACAATGATTTTAGTTTTAAATATTTATGGGTTTCATTTAACATTTTTCTTTGATACTCTGAATTCATAGTTTTATGAGTTGCGAAAATGCTAAATAAAGTTAAGATAGAGATCACATTGTACAACGTACAATAGTTGGGAGAATGAAACATTTGTTCAAATTCAATAAGTTTGTTCTTAATTTCAAATTCATATTTACGTATTCATTTGATTCTATTACGGAGAACTTTCTCTATTCCACTAACAATGGGACAAAAGAGTGACACACAAATCAATAAAAAGTAAGTTATGTGGTTGATATTGAATTGATAAAGTAAGAATAAAATAAGAATAAAGTAAGAATAATTTAGAACCATAGAAAGTATACCAAATTTGGTATGAGACAATCTTATAGGACGGACCGAAAAGGTAAAATGAAACAATCTTAGCGAAACGGATGGAGTATATATTAAGACTGTGAAGGCATTTTCATTTTTTTAAATTGATTTTTCTTTAAATTTGTAGATTCAAAATCAAATGTAAGAAAACAATTTCGTTACCATTTTCTTTGCATTCCCTGATTTCCATTTAATTTGTTGATCTTTAAATTAATTCATTAAAATCGTAGAGAAAATTGCATATTTGACCCGATAGTTGACGTTTGGGACTAAATCAAAGGGATTTGGTATAGGTTCTACTTCGTGACCCGCAGGATGACAATGTTATACCTATTGTTGAAGAACTTCAAAGAAGGTTGCCCCTCGCTAACGGTCTAGCAGAAAGAGATGACGATGATGACGGGTCACAACCGGGGTTAAGAACTAGTGAAGAAACTGATGTTGAGCAAACTGGTATAAAACATATGACTCACATTTGTGCTATTAATATATGTTGGCAAGATTTTGTGAGGTTACCGTGCCCAGTGAGAGGTCTCGAGTTCGAAACTCGCTAGGCACATAAGGGTTTGAAACTCAATGGAGTAATTACTCCAGACTCCCCCAGCCCCCCTCCCCAGACGCCCCCGAAGTAAAAAAAAATTGTTCATGTATATGTACTTTCATGAATGCTCTTCATAGCTAACACATGGACTTGACTTGATATTGCTATATTATGAATAAAATGTAGAGTTCCCTTTTGAGTTTCAAGCCTTAGAAGTAGCTCTAGAAGGTATATGCAGCTTTCTTGACACACAAACAAGGGACTTGGAGACTGCTGCTTACCCTGCTTTAGACGTATTAACTGCAAAGGTATTTTATATGTCAATGTGATACTTCGTATATCTTAGTAGAATTTTATCTTGAACCTTTTAACAAGTCATGCATTTTTTAAATTGTAAGATTTTTTTCTATCTCTGATTGCTATGTCATTCCTACAATGTGGTATGTAACGAAAAGAAAAAAAGGAAAAAATGCACTTCTAATATACTCCTTCCGTCCCTTAAAACTTTGTCAGTTTGATCGACACGGGGATTAATAAAGTAAAAGTTATGTGGTTAAGGTTTGTGCAGAAGAGAGAATTAACTGGAACCACAAATTTTTTGCTTAAAAGAGAAAATGACAAAGTTAGTGGGACATCCAAAAAAGGAAAGTTTGCAAAGTTGTAAGGGACGAAGGGAGTACATCCTTGAAAGGATCATCTGAAGGACTTCATTTCTTCCTACTTAATCTGAATATTTCTTATCAAGAACTTGAAAGATGTTTTTGCCATCCAATAATTAGAGAGCATTTATACTTCCTTCAATTCCATTGATAAAACAAGATCCTTCAATCATGCACAATGTAAAGAACAAAAAGTAGCTTGAAATGCATCAACTAATTTTTAAATATTGATCCCAACCAATTTAATTAAACTCATAACATTATATACTAATGTCCTCAAAAGTTACTTCATATGATAATCAAATGTTACAATAATGTGCAGATTAGTAGTAGTAATCTGGATCGCGTGCGCAAACTGAAGAGCGCAATGACACGAATGACAAGTCGGGTTCAGAAAGTACGTCTTCATCATCTATTTGAAAACCAAGCTAGCCTAGGCAATGATCAATTGATTTGAATTTGTGAATCCTGATTTTTTTTCAGTTCTAGAATTACTTCAGTATAATATGCTTCTAGATGAATCTTATTTACATACATATTCCAGGTGAGGGATGAACTTGAGCATCTTCTTGAGGAAGATGATGACATGGGAGATCTTTACCTATCAAGGAAATCAGCAGCACCTATTTCTTCTCCAATGAGCTATAATGTGGTTCCTGACTTGTTCCATGACTCTCCAACCATTAGCTCTAAATTGTCCAGAACCAGTAGGAGATCAACTCATCATGGTGAAACTGATGTTGAGGAACTTGAAATGCTTCTTGAGGTTATATTAATTTTATAGAAAGCCCAAATAGAGGGGGAATAATCAATTTTAGTGGCACATTCATTTAACTTATTTGTTAGATTATCCCAGACTAGTAAATATAAAGAACAAACCAACAAGATTTGCTAATTTAGTCGGGTAGCTATCCGAGTCCTCAAACTAATAATTTTATTCAATTTAAGAACTTTTTGATAACAATGCACCATTCCAGAAAAACCACTCTAGAAAAGTTGCTGCCCTCATACATTCTAGCTTGTGGGAGCGTTTTGATATAGACAAATTTATTAGTTACTAGAGCAAATGAGTAAAGTTCTAAAGACTATTAATGGGGCACGAATATGCGTTTCTGTCTGCCCGATTCAGCTCAGGTACGACGGAGGTCGGTTTCAGGCAGTCTCTTCAGAGTGCACAAGGAGACTAACGGAAACCGACTTCCGGCGTACCTGAGCCGAATCCAGCGGACAGAAACGGATCCACAACAGTGGAATCAGAGCCAATGGTTGTCTTCACCGTCGATTTCGCTGAATTCCGCCGTCCACCACCGTACACCGCCGTCTTTCGCCGGTTGAAGCTACTGGAAGATCCACCGCATCTGGGCCGTTGTTCCCCGTCACCGGAAGTCTGCCGCCTATCACCAAGTTCGGAGTTCGTTGCTCGCCACTGAGACGCTGTCGCTGGAGGTGGAGGTCACAGTTGCAGGAAGACCGTTGTTTGAAGGTCCCTCTTGATGCTGCAGCTTGCAGTCGTTGGCCATCCCTGCCTACACACCTTGATTTCTGGAATTTCGAGACGTGACTGGAGCTAATCGCAGAGAACGCGGCAGGAGCTGACTTTGGCCTGGGAGGACACCCGTGGCCGCTGGAGCCACCGTCAGCCTAAGAATCATCGCCGGAGGTGCTAGAGCTGGACGGGGACTTCACGCAGGTGCTCTTGCTGGACGCTGAAGAAGAGGATTTGACAAGGCAAAGGGTTGAGCTTTAGGCTGGTTGCTGCATTGTTGGGCTGCATCCTTCTTGGGCTGAAGTAGACGTGAAGGTTTGACAGACCTGCTGAAATTGGGCTGGAACCTTGAGGCTGGACAATGCTCCTATCCAAACTTGCTGGATACACATGGAGTGTGTTGGATGCCTAGGACTCAGTCAAAATTAGTCAACTGCCCACCAACCATTCCAAAATCCCTTTTGTGGGTGGGTAAGGTCCAAATACTTTCCTAATGTTTGGCTACTGTAAGTCTTCTTTATTTAAAACTTCACATTTATTTTAAATTATTAAAATTGTTGTTGATTTAATACTTGTTAGAATTATACTTATTTGTGCTTGTACGGAAGAGTAAGGGGTCTGAACGGAGCCTTGTGCTCATTGTTATTCCCGACTTGTTCGCGCTAGTTGCTCCGTACTACTATAACCTTATAAATATTAAACTATTTTTCTAGCTAAAAGTTGCATTTTTAATTTTCTTGTTTTAATTTTCTAGTGCAAAAATGTCTGCATTTAATCCGACATACTCCATGCTTATCCAGCAAGTTTGGATAGGTGCACTGTCCAGCCTCAAGGTTCTAGACCAGTTTCAGCAGGCCTGCAAAACCTCTAGGTCCACTCCAACCCAAGAAGGATGCAACCAAACAAGGCAACAACCACCCTAAACCTCAACCATTTGCCTTGTCAAATCCTCTTCTTCAGCGTCTAGTGAGAGCACCTGCGTGAAGTTCTCGTCTAGCTCCATTACCTCCGGCGATGATTCCCAGGCTGACGGCGGCTCCAACGGCGACGGGTGTCCTCCTAGGCCAAAGTCAATCAGGGATGGCCAGTGACTGCAGCAGCGGGAGGGACCTCCAAACTACGGTCTTCCTACAACGGTGACCTCCAGCGACGGCTTCTCAGTGGTGAGCGACGAGCTTCGAACTTGGTGACGGGCGGAAGACTTCCGGCGATAGGCGTCTTCCCAGCCCTTAAATCGTCTGAGAATGGAAACAGGGAACAACGGCCCAGATGCGACGGATCTTTCGGTAGTTTCAACCGGCGGCAGATGACAGAATTCAGCGAAATTGACGGCGAAGACCGCCCTTGGCTCTGATACCACTATTGTGGATCCGTTTCTGTCGACCGGATTCGGCTCAGATCGTCGGAGGTCGGTTTCCGGCAGTCTCCTTGTGCACTCCTAAGCTAAGGGAGCAACTACCCTATTCTACCTTCCTCACTATCTCACTCAGCTTCACAAAGAGCTTAGAGCTGGTTTTTCTTTTTCTCACCACACTCTCAAAGGCTTCACTAGTTCACTACCATACTAGATATATACAACCAGTTAGAACAAGGGTGGTCAACTGAGGACACTTTCACATGCAAAGGGGTGGAAGACTGTCTCAATAATACAAAGGTAGAATTGGCTTATTAGCAAAAGGGTTGGACGGACAGCTTGCAAAGGACATCACTCGCTTATTTGCTTAAATAATGAGTCTAGTTTAAATTCAAACTCGAGTAGGAGTGGTGGGTTGCTAAATAGAGTGTCAACAATTATTGATATACAAAGGCTATTTGAGCCAATAATATATTAACAATTTACGGGATTATTTAGACAATTGTCTCGAACAAACAATAAGACCTCGAACTACTCCAAACAAATAATAAGATCTCGAGCAACTTTGTTGATCTGATCTAAACAATACGAATAACAAAAAAGAAAATAGTAAACATAACGCTATATCATAGACATCAACCTTCACTTACCCATTGTTGGTGCATGACTATAGATTCTCTGGACCTCCCATCACAATAAAATCTGTGGTTGGATTATTCGTCTAGCAAGAGTGAAAAGGTCAAAGTTTGTAGCCAAAAACAGGAATGACCTAATAGGGTATGATTAAAAGTTAAGTTTCCTTATCCCAGAGAGATTTCCTGTGCTTTACTTTTTGCTCAAACCTATACATTTGGTGATTACTGATTCGTGAATGTATATCTTATATGCAGGCTTACTTTGTGCAAATAGAGAGCACTATGAACAAGTTAACAACGGTATGTATATAGAATGGTAGGTATATATGCAATCCTAATCATGTTTATATGCATTATAATCCCTCATCATGTTTCACACACTTACTAAACAAAGTGAAATTGTGTGATCGGAATTTATTTAATCAGAAAAGAATTTTGAGAGAGACCTAAAAATGAAACGTGAGAAACTAATTTGGGAAAAAATGTGGTATATTACGTGCATGTAACACTGTAATAGTGAGAAATAAATTGTATGAAATGGACGATATAATGTACAAGGAAACACATATAAATTTGCCTTGTTGCTCTGCAGTTGCGAGAATACATCGATGACACAGAAGATTATATTAATATACAGGTAAACACACATTAATTTGCTTCAACTCGATGACAATTATGTTAAGAATATAATGACGCTTTAAGATTAATTAAGGTTGCACCTTGCACGTAACTCGAACTACGAGTAAACATTTAAACAATATTTGAGGAGACTAAAATTTTCAAACTTGATCTGGTATGATCTCATATTGTACACCCATGTGCCTCGAAAAGAAGATGTCACTTTGACTTAAACAAAATCTATGTAAGATAAAATTATATTTTGACTTTCTAGATTTACTCTTACTTTACATTAAATCAAGCAAAAAGTAAACAAAAGTAAGAGTGGTTTTTGATTGTGATATTTTCTATTAAATATTCTTTTTATAGAAACGTGAACTTCATTTTTGAATACGTAATGAAGTAGAGTGGGAACTTCTTTTGAGGAAAGAGGGGTATATTTTACCATTATCTAAATCTGGTCAAATCTGATTCGGTCTGGTTAGGCGTGAAATTATGCGTGTTATATTATTATTAAGGATGCTTTCAATTGGATTGAAATTTTATGTTCTAATCTGTTTAAGTTCTATACGGATATTTTACTATTATCTAAGTATGATATGTTCTTGATAAAAAAAGCATCCTAAATCTGATTTTTTTGGCATGTTCAAGTCTGTTCTTAAACAAGAAATCTTATTTTTTGCATTTGGACCGTGGTTTACTCCTATTTTGAGAATTCACATAAATAGAACTCGCATAAATTAGAATAAGTGAAGCAATTTCAATTGTTCATAAGAAGTAATAATACTTCGATTCTATGGTTGCAGCTGGACAATCACCGAAATCAGCTGATCCAGGTATACTATACCACTCATCTATAAATCTATTAGTAATTAATTGATTTGTTATTGATAAATTGTGAGTTCCATATACTACCCCGTTCTCCTTTAATTGCAACATTGGACTTTTTTCACTATTCACATATTCTACTTGACTATATTTTATTTATTAGTGTATTATAAATTAAATTTTTTAAAAATAATTTTAAATTCTACTCGTTTTAAATTTTCAAAATCAGAATTTTTAATTCTTTTTACTAATGAAGAATGAAAAATATTAATGTTCAAAATTGTACGTTGGCAAGCGTGAAAAGAGGACCGTTGCAATTAAAAAAGAACAGACGAAGTATATATATATATATAAGAATTATTAAGTAATGGAAGGAACCGATGGGCGCAGCTGGAGCTGTTCTTAAGTTCTGGTACGGTGTGTTTGACAGTGTACTCAATGGTGGCTGCCATATTCGGCATGAATATCCCACATCCTTGGAAAGACCATCACGGCTACCTCTTCAAATGGGTATATATGTCTTTTCTTCCTCATCCCTTGTTCTTTTGCAATTTGTCTTAGGCTGCTTGCAACCCAATAGGTGAATAGGCAAATGTGATGTTTTCAACCCCAATTTTGCTGCAATCCATGTATTGTAAGGTGCTAAAGTGGTTATATGAACCTTCTCTAGTGGGAATTCCCAGCGTTATTAACTGAAGAGAGCAAGTTAAGCAAGGGCCTACTTGCGCCAGAAATGTGGGGCCAATTATATCAAAATACCCAAATTTCTTTAATGTGTTATAACCTTTTTATGTGTAAACTATTTTTTTAAAACATATTAAAACTTATAATTTTTTATTATCTTTCATATGACACCAATATAACATATGTAAAGTTGTAAAAAAATTAAGTTTCATCAGCTAGAGATTTTTTAGGGTTAAAAATTTTGTTAAGTTGATCTAGATGCTAAAATTAAGATCTCATGATGGGAATAATATTTTTTATATCTTTCATTTATTTATTTCAAAACTAGTTCTTAATTAGCGATAAAAAAAATTAGACTCCAAATTTATTCATTTTTGCATCGGAATGTATGACTTTTAAAATCATAACTATTCACAAAAAAACATAAACAAAGAATCAATGCATAATAATAAAAGAAAGGTTTTAATTAAGAACAAACCTTGATGAGTGAATATATTGACGGTTTGGATTGCAGAGAAAAAATAAATTGACTGAATGAATACGTATAAGGTGGGGGGAAATTAGATTTATTGATGGATGCGAGTTGCACCTAGAATCGATGATTCCACCCTATCTATTGTCTATTTATTCATCGAGTACTTGTCGTGAATACGAATAAAACATTGTCAAAATAGCACCATACGTTTTTTTAGAAATTGCGTTTTATAGGGGTAAAAACATTATGAATTCGAAAATATGTCTACTATGTTTTTCTTTTCAAAATGGAAATCGTTAGTGCCTGGATGAGGCTATAGTTTATGTTGGGGGTGTCAATACCCTCCCAACTTTTCCTTTTTTTAATAAATAGTATTACTATTTTTTTACCCCCCAACCCTATTATTCTTTAGAGTTTTGTAGTCCGTATGTACTAAAAAATTAGGATTTGTTTTGAATAGTTAGTTCGGATATTAGTAAATACAACTAAAGAAATATGGAGTACTATTTAGTATTTCAAGGGTTACTTTCTAGATAATAATTAAGATGTTATAACTTATAATTATAATAATGTACTACTATTACTTGCTACTAAAGAATTTATTTAGTTCTGCTTATTTCGCTCTCAACGGTACAAACGTCAACTGCACATTTTTTATTTTTCATATTTTACACCTAACATAAATTAACTAAAGTCCAATGAGACGGAAGGATTATATTATTATTTCTACTTCAGCCTGGTGAGCCCGCCCGCCCTTCAATTGAATCATGGCTCCATCCCTAATTACTGCAAAATTGAAAAATATTGTCAGTAATAACAGCAAAAAAAATTATACGTAGTACGATAGTATTTAAGATGGTTTTACTATGACTTATTTCATAACAAACCAGATTGATCAGATTTAAACAGATGAAACAAAACCAAATTAGATTAGATAGATCAGACCAAAATTTCCGGTCCAAGTAATACCATGAATTTGTTATTTTCATGACAAAAGTGAGAATGTGAGATAATTTGATACGTAGTACGGTGTACAATTTTTAAGGGATAATTTGAGTTTGCACCCCATTTTATTATCCAAATTAGACTTTGCACCCCATTTTTTAAATCATTAGTATTTGCACCCTAACCTCGTATGAAAAGTCAAAAATGCCCCTCGATCAGGATTATGTTGAAGGCCAACAAAATTGTTAATTGAGGGGCATTTTAGTCTTTTCATACGGGGTTGGGGTGCAAATACTAAAGATTTCAAAAACGGAGTGCAAAATCTAATTTCGACAATAAAATATGGTGCAAAGTCTAATTATCCCAATTTTTAAGCCACGTGAAGTTATACGGAGTATTATAGTGATCGACCCTACTTGGGGCAAAAGTGGAATTTACTACTCTTATTAGAGTTCTGTTTCGTGTACATGCCGGTCAAATTGTCTGTATATAGACAATTTGATTGGTTAGACAGACATTTTAACCGGTGTTTTAAGAAGAAAATTGATTTCCATACATACAAAATATAAAGAGTTATCTGTATCACAGACATTTTAGATCTGAATTTTTCATAAAGTGTCTGTGATACAGATTTTTTTTTGTCTGTGTCAAAATCGATTTTCTTCGTAAAATGACGCTCAAAATGTCTATGTAGCGGTCAAATTGTCTGTACACAGACAATTTGACAGATGTGTGTAACCCTGCGTGTAAAACTTGTCGTGTACAAAATAAATTTTGCCTCTTATTATTGGTGGATTTGAGTCATACTCCAAGTGATTAGACCTTACTTTGGACAAACGTAGGTGTTTGATTCGGCCCCTTTTTTGTGTGCAGGTGGTCATCCTGGCTTCACTGATTTGCGGGTCCCTCTTCATATCATTAATCTCTTACGCGCGACACAGGGGTCTGGTGGGATGATCGATCCTCCAATAAGAGCATCTTTCTTCAAAATCTTGGTTCATTTTTGGAGCAATACTTTGTGTATAAATTTTAATTACACGTTCTTATATTTTGTGTGTCTATACAATCATTTTTCAAATTTTCTATATTTTTTAAATTGATTGTGTAGCAAGCTAATTGTACAAAAAGTTGGCATGCCCCTCATGGATTAGAAACAAAGGTGATAAAGTTTTTGGTATAATTAAAAAAAGAAAGATGACAAAGTTATAAAGAAATGTTGAAAGATGTCAAAGTTAAAATACAAAAATGTGTTAGTTTTATACGGAGGATGAAAGTACCGAGTATTCAACAAATTTATGAACAACCAAGAATATTGGGTTACATATTTAACAATTTCTGATCTTTTTAACTATCAAAGTAATTCACATTTTATACTCAAATAAATAAAATAACCATGAAATGGATGAATAGAAACTAATGAACAAAAAATACAAGAATGGGTGGATAAAAAGTGTGCAAATATGGAATAAAATTAAAACGAATAAAAGAAAAAAACGTGTCCAAGGTCAAAAGAAAACACCATATAACATTAGTCTTTGTGAAAAACACAAAAAGGATACATGAAGCTAGCTAGACTAACCATGGTGTTTTCGATGTTAAATTTCATGGATTTTAAAATCTTGGAGAATTTCAAGTGCTCTCGTTCTAAATTTTGAGGATATCATAAAATTTTAGGTATCTCCGATTATGAATATATGCCTTCCTTTAAAAATGAAATTCAAGAAAATTCATTTTCAGTGGATGATTGTGATTCTTTTCAAGAGTAAATTTTTGTGGATTCTTATTTTTTCCAACTCAAATAACACTGAATACATGCTCATTAAAATTTGGTAACTTATAATCGGGTTATCATAATTTCAATTGAACTCTATCGGGATATGATAAAATTGAATGAGTTGATTTCTATTAAAACCTATAAACTTTACGTTCTCTTCAAAAATCACACACATTCTATGTTAAGGGCACCCCCAAGAGTAAATGAAATAAAAGAGTGTACCCACACGGGTAGCTCAGTTGGTCGAGTGGTGGGAAAATTGGACTAAGTGACCAAGGTTCGAAACCCGCAACGGCCGTGTGGAGGTTACAGAACCTGAAATAAGACTTGACCACTGGTGCGCACGTGTATAAGGCCTACCGCCGCTTTGCCGACTGAGTCACCGTGATCAAGGGCGGACCCACCCTAGGGCTAGGGGGTGCCCGTGCCCCTGCGGTGATTTTTTTATATATATATATTGGAAAATTTTCAGGTCCAGCACCTCCCGGTCCGAACATCGTCCGAACACCGCCGTTTGGGGCGGTTCCAGGTGGATTGTTTTGATGAAATTTTTTGAGCATGTTACTCATCAAGTCTAGTTTATCTATACCAAATTTTAGGTCAAAATTCGACCGGGAAGGCAGTCAAATAATTCGTTGAAGTTAACTGCGTTTTTCTATGTATAATTTGGCGCAGTTAACTTCAACGAATTATTTGACTGCCTTCCCGATGGCATTTTGAGCTGAAGTTTGGTATGGATAAACTAGACTTGATGAGGAACATGCTCAAAAATTTTCATCAAAATATTCCGCCGGGAACCGCCCCAAACGCCGGTGTTCGGACGGCGTTCGGACAGAAAAGTGCTGGACAGAAAAGTTATGCCGATTGAGACTTATGATGTTAATATTAGAGATGAGTTGAGGAGACGTTATTTGAGAAAATGTCCTTGCCAACCGCGTGACTTTAAATTTCCACAAAGTGATTTTAATGGGTACAACAGATCATTCCAAAAACAGTGGTTTTATTTAAATTTTATAGGGTTGTTTATTGCTATACTCGTGATGCATATGATTTTTTTCTAGACTAGTATATCATTTCTTTGTTATTGTGCCCCTGCGAGTCACGAGTCCTGGTTCCGCCACTGACCGTGATTAACTTCCCCATCATTCTATCGCGTCGGGGTGAGGGGCCTTGGGGTTGGGCATTCAACCTTTGGATCAAGAAATAAAAGAGTGTATCTGCACTCTAACTTAATGATTGTTGAGTGAGACTGAGTTGGATTGAAGTATCAAATTGGAACCCTAACAACGTACGCCGCAAATTATACCGTGGGATCGGCTCACCTTACGCATGGTGTGCCGATCCCACTTTAGGCAAGTGTCCCTTTACTTTCTTCTTGGAGCAACGTTCGTTCCTTTTCTTTTGCTTTTTTTCTTTATTTTTCTTTTGTTCAATTCTTTTCTTTCTTCATCAAATTAAAATACTAAAAAATTAATGGCAATCCTACGCTTTTCTTTTATCTTGATCTTAAATTATAATTGAATCTATTTTTTTATTCTTTATCAATACATAACAAAAAGTTTATAAATTAAAATAAAATAAGTATATTGCATTTCATATTCATACACTAATTTTGTTTCTGTAATATTTTTTACATTCATATGCTTTTTATAGTATACTTTTTATATTCATACACTTTTTTGTAATATTTTTTATATGGACACACTTTTTCTATAGTATAATTTTTTATCACTTTTATGTGTTTTTAGAGGTTTTAAGACATCGAGTTTGTTTATTTTCATTCTTGAAGTTACATTTGATAATATATCATGAAGTTACATCTTCTTCTGCGAAGTTACATCTTAATGTACGCGAGTTACATCTTAATATACGCGAGTTACATCTTAATGTATGCGAGTTACACAACGAAATAAAGTCAATAAACCTCTGCTATATCATTTTTATAGCCATAATATTACAAATAAAACATATTCACTATTTAAAAAAGTAATTAAGCTATTGGGATCGATTTTTCATTGATTACATTGAAATCAATGTTTATAACATCTCAAACACACAAAAAAAATCATTGTTCAATTTTTCAACAAGTTACATTCTGTATACACATAAGTTACATTTGCCATCAACGCGAGTTACATTTGTAATAATGATATTTTCTAAAAATTATTTCTTATGGACATGATATTAAAAACAAAATATATTCCCGTTTTACCTAAAACAATTGTGCAATTAGACTCTCATTTTTCATTGTTTATATTGAAATCAATATTTTATTTCTTATACTATGTATTTGACAAGTTACTGATGGAGTATATGGGTCCAGAACCCATCACCCACATACTCAGAAGAATAAAAGGCACAACTGTCACCCAGTGGGACCTTCGTCGGCCAGATGGCCCTCCATCGACCAGAAAGGAATCAACTCCGAATATGATCCAGAAGCCAGAAGAACCAGGTGTCTCTGTCGGCCGGGTCTCCGTCGTCCATGTCTCCGTCGGCCACAGAGAGCTCACAGAGCCGGATTTCATACTTAGCCATTTTACATACTTTTGTACTCGGCCCAGTAGTGGCCTCATTGTAAATGACCCCCCCTAGCCTTGGACTTGGGAGCTCAGCCCATATTTCCTCTATAAATACTCCACTTGGGGGTAGTTGTAGGGGGCTCACAAATTCATTTGTTGCAATATTCATTGCACTTCTATCTCTAGCTCTCACTTCTCTCTAGGAGTTAATACTCCATCATTTGGTGCTTTCATTGAGAGACGATGTACGATGCATTGAAATTGAGGAAAACAATATAATTCCATTTGAAGTTTCAGAGTACAACAGGGGGGTGGCCTTTACATAAAGGGGCACTACGGCACCTACCAAAATAAGCATGGAAATAAAAGAGGCAGTAATTCAGCTTTCTTGGGCGGCCCCATCGGCAACCTGCTCAGCACCAGCTTGCTCGACTGCAAGTCCAGCACCTTCCTCCGTTTCCACATTCATACTGGTTTCTGCAGTGGAGGCAGCAGTGTCCGCCAAGATGTCATCATCGGTCCATTTCGACTCGTCGATGGAGGAACTCAGCACTAGGGCATGCCTTTCGGAAGGAGGAAGCTCCATCTCCTCCTCAGGGTCCTTATTCTTGTGAAGTTTCAGGGTCCTGGCCCATTTTCGGGTGAGCTTCAGAGCCTTAAAGCTACGGCGCAACCTCCGGTAGATGAGTCGCTGCATCCGGTGCAGGCCGAGATCGTAGTATACCTTCATCTCCTTCTCAAAGTACTCTTGACCTTCAGGACTATGCAGCGCCCAAACTTCAAGCTTGGCCGCCACGAGCTTGAAGCACCAAGGCCGACGTTCCTCTACTTTCCAGCCGTCGACCAAGAATTTCTCAATGGCGGCGTATGCGACTTTCTCTGCAGCAACCTCAGCAGCTCGCTCGGCCTCAGCCCTGGCCTTCTCGGCCTCAACAGCAAGACAACGGGTAGCCTCATGCGCCTCTTTCTCATCGGCGAGCTTTTTGATGGCATCGTCCCTGTCGGCGGTCAACTGGTGAGTGGCCACATCGGCATCATCAACCTTCTTTTTCAAGGTTTCCACATCGGCCCGCAGCCGGTCCAAACAACCCAGTGCCTCATCAGCCGAAGCAGCCTTCTGCTTCAGCCGAGCAATCTCCGCCTGCTGCCTCTTGTGACTCTCCATCAGCAGGAAGGCAGCCTGCACAAAATTGAACGTTTAGGACGATAATGACACATGCGATGATGTGAATAAGGAAAATAACAAAGGATGTAGGGATAACTTACTTGGACGAGGTGGTCCATTCCACCGTCATAAATCTTGACGTTATCGAGCCCATCAAGATAAGCTTGGTCCTCGTCTGGAACGGCCTGGGAGATCACCTCATGGTCGTCAATGATATCGACCCAATCCCTTCTCTCTTCCCCCTCTATCTCTCGATCCTCTCTCCCTTCTCTCTTCCCCCTCTATCTCTTCTCTCTTTCCTCTTTACCCAATCTCTTCTAAAATTCTCAAAAAAAAATGGGATGATCATCTTATCTTCTTCATCCTCCTCTTTCCTTCTTCATCCTTTTTTTCTCTACCTTTTTATATCAAATTTTTTCATTACTTGCACAAAATCAGCTTATTCGTCTTATTTCATCTATTTTTATTATTTTTCTATTTTTTTCAATTTAAATTCATTACACATACAACTACATCATTCATTTGGATGTATATAGACAATTAATTTTTTTGTTCACACGGACAATTTAAATTGATCACAGTGACAACTATTGTCTGTGAGCGGCACAACTATTATCTGTGTGGTAAATATTGTTTGTGCACACAGACAAATATTGTCTGTGCACACAGGCACTGCACATATATAGATTGATTTGCAAGATGATGTCAGTGTTAGGCGGCTGTCAGTGTACTTTTTACACGAAAGTAAATGTCTGTGGACATAGAAAAAAGTTGTCTGTGTACACAGACAACTATTGTCTATGCTCACACGCAACTCCGTACCAATTGTTTGTGACCGAAATTTTGTGTACAAATTGTGTACAACTTGTGTACCCCTAGCATTTCTCATGTCTGTGGACTTGTCAATTTAATTGTTGTGGTTAATCGAGTTGTCATTTGAATTTTCACGCAGAACTCAATTTAATACGTACTACGTAGTACTCCCTCCGTTCTTTATTATCTGTCCCGCTAGCCTTGGGCACAAGTTTTAATAGAAAAATAGTAGGGTAAATGTAGAGTGTGTAGGGTAAATGATAAAGTAGGAAAGAGAGTATATTAAAAAGAGTAAAATGGTGATAAAATGATGATAAAGTAGGAAAGAGAGTATATTAAGTAGAGTAAAGTTATGATAAAGTAGGAAAGAAAAAATAGTTTGTAAAAAGTAAGAGGGGTAAAAGTAATAAAAGTGGCTGTATTTTATCAAAAACTTTCCTAAAATAGAAAGAGAGACAAATAATAAAAAACGTCCCAAAAAGGAATGCGAGACAGTTAATAAAGAACGAAGGAGTACTTCGTATGTGATTGAGAATATTCATATGAAAAGTGGTCCTCTTTTAATCTGACCCTCTGACAGTTTTCAAATCACTCAAAATAAAATTGGAACTTAAGAAAATTCTAAAGTGAGCCTTTATTTATCACGTCAGGAGCCCCACACGCCGACCCGACAGAATGGTGGAGGAGTAAATCACGGTGACTCAGTGGTCCAATGGTGATAACCTGGTAGGGTTTATACCGGTGTGCCCCAGAGATCCAGCCCAGCATGCAGGAGTTGTAACCTCCACACAGCCGCTGCGAGTTTCAAACCTTGATCATTGTTCCAAATTTTTCACCACTGTACCAACTGAGCTACCCATGTGGGTTGAGCCTTTATTTATCAATATTACTAAATTGGATGTAAAAGAAAAAAATGTTACTAGTACTTGTTTTAAGTATCCCAAAAATATGACTTACCATATTATTTACATCCTTATTTAGTATTTCATTTATTATTTAGATATTCCCTTTTTTATAATTAATAATTATACCACCAATGACTCCCGCCATCATCGCCAGCGCAGCCGACGACGACGACATAGTGACACTGTTCGCCAATTACTCTATCACAGTACGTTGTACAGTGACTCCATCCATCGCCCCATCACTTCAATGACTTCGGTGTCCTCCCTTCTCCGGTGACTCCGACCATTTCCTAGGGTCGACCAGTGACTCCGCCGTGGTTACTAGTTGCCTCACCATCCCCTACTATCGTCTCTAGCCTCTAACCCTTCTCCAATCCCCTCCACATTCCCCACACTCCGCCAACCCTAGATCGGCCTCCTCGCCACCCTCCTCCCCTAGCCTCTTAACTCCTTCCTTGTCCTTACAAAGCCACTGCCCCACCACCACACCACACTCACCCTCGCCCTGGCAGCCGCCACATTCAACCCTCACCCGCAGAAAATAGTCTGACCGTCACTAGCGAAAACTCGATAGCCCTAGCCATCATCGACCGCCACTATCAGACTATCTCGTTTGCTTATTATCCCAACATCCTAGTGCCGCACAATAGAAGGAGAAAAAGATTAGAAGGGACGGGTGTAATACTTGTGATTTAATATAAATGGATTAATAGTACTACTTATACCAACAAGGTACATCTCCTTTTAAGGGAGTTTTATAGCCGAGAATTACAAAGTTAAACGTGCTTGCACGGGAGTAGTGTTGGGATGGGTGACCCCCTCAGAAGTTTCTTAGGGCACGCACAAGTGAGTACAACTATGAAATGTTATTATGTAAAAATGTATAGGGTCTCTGTAGATAACTATTCAAATCAACACTCGTTATCTCCAATTTGTGATTAAAATCCAATTTGAAGCATTTATCATCTTTTTTTAAAAAATAACTACTCGCTGTATAGGAAAAAGACAACTCCTTGTTTGATTTGCGCTTCAGCGGCTTATAACTACTCCGTACAAAAGCTATCAACTAAACATACAATAATACGTAGTAGGAAATTAGTTATTCCGTAAACCACGCGACTTTGTTTCGACCATTTAACAATAACATAAATAAATTGTACTCCCTTCCTCCCAATTTACTTTGACCAATTAAAAATTTAAAAATATATTTAAACTAATTATTTAAATTAATATATTTATGCTAAATTTATAAAGTTTATACTTTTTGATAGTATTTTTAACAAATAATATTTTGATATTATTTTCATATTATTAATACTTTCTTCATATAAATATATAGTGAAAATTGGGTAAGGAAAATGAGACAATGGAGTACTAGTGAAACGTTTAAAAAGACACGATGTCTTCTATCGATAACACATCAGTTGATTGGTTTTGCACTTTTGCCTTCGCACGTCTATCCAATCTTAGGCATCTTCTCTTTGGAGATAATCAGAGGATAAGACCAAGTATTAGGCCACATTTATTTACACAGGACCACCAAATGGATCAGCTCAAACCAAGTCAAGCAAACTCATGCCCGCTCACGCCTCTCACCTTCTTGGACAGAACCGCCACCATCTACGGCGACACCACCTCCGTCGTCTACAACGACACCTCCTACACCTGGTCCGCCACCCACCTCCGCTGTCTCCGCCTCGCCTCCTCCATCGCCGCCCTCGGGGTTCAGAGAGGTCAGGTCGTTTCTGTTCTCGCACCCAATATCCCCGCAATGTACGAGCTCAACTTCGCCGTCCCCATGGCCGGAGCCGTCCTCAACTCTGTCAATCTCCGACTGGACGCCCGAACAGTGTCGGTCCTCCTCCGCCACTGTGAGTCAAAGCTGGTCTTCGTTGACTGCCTATCCACTTCTCTCCTCCTCGAAGCTCTGTCCCTGTTTCCGCCGGAATCGCCGCGCCCTCTGTTGGTCCTCATCACGGACCCCGAGTTTCCGGCGATTGGCCGCCGGGAAGAATTCGTTGATACTTATGAGGGTATGATCGAAACAGGGGATCCGGGATTCAATTGGGTTCGACCTCAGAGTGAATGGGATCCGATCGTTCTTAATTACACTTCCGGCACCACGTCGGCTCCGAAGGGGGTGGTCCATAGTCACCGGGGAGCCTTCATCATGACGGTTGATTCGCTGCACCAGTGGGCGGTGCCGAAAGAGCCGGTGTACCTCTGGACGCTTGCCATGTTCCACGCCAACGGCTGGAGCAACACGTGGGGGATGGCGGCCGTGGGGGCAACCAACGTCTGCCTACGGAAATTCGATGCCGCCACGATTTACGCCTCAATCCGTAAGCACAACGTGACGCACATGTGTGGCGCGCCGGTGGTGCTCAACATGCTATCCAATTCGCCCGAAAAAAACCCGCTGCCCCACCCCGTTCACATCATGACCGCCGGAGCGCCGCCTCCGGCGGCCGTGCTTTTGAGAACCGAGTCCCTCGGGTTCATCGTCAGCCACGGGTACGGGTTGACCGAAACCGGGGGCTTGGTTGTCTCATGCACGTGGAAGAAGAAATGGAACAACTTTCCCACCGAAGAAAGAGCAAAGCTAAAAGCAAGACAAGGGGTGAGGACCATCGGAATGACGGAAGTAGATGTAGTGGACTCGTCCTCGGGCAAAAGCGTTAGGCGGGACGGGAAGACCCTCGGGGAAGTTGTGTTCCGAGGTGGCGCTATCATGCTCGGCTACCTTAAAGACCCCGAGGGTACCTCCAAATGTATGAAACGGGACGGGTGGTTCTACACGGGGGACGTCGGGGTGATGCACTTCGATGGGTATTTGGAAATCAAAGATCGATCGAAGGACGTGATCATAAGCGGGGGCGAGAATCTGAGCAGCGTGGAGGTGGAATCGGTGTTGTATTCGCACCCGGCAGTGAATGAGGCAGCGGTGGTGGCTCGGCCCGATGCGTTTTGGGGTGAGACGCCTTGTGCTTTTTTGAGCTTCAAAGCGGGGGTAAAGGAGAAGCCGACTGAGAAAGAAATCATCTCTTTCTGCAGAGAAAGAATGCCACATTACATGGTCCCAAAAACGGTGGTGTTTCAGGATGATCTTCCTAAGACGTCTACAGGAAAGGTTCAAAAGTTTGTGCTGAGAGAGATGGCTAAAGCCATGGGGACGTCCAAGTCTAGATTATAAATGAACAGAGCGAGCCTGGGGGAATTGCACTATCATGTTTAATCACTGTTTCACAATATATCCAAATATCATCATGCACGCCATTTGACTACATTCATTTGGCTGTGTAATTTGATTCGATTCATTTGCACTAGTTTCTCTGATCAATTTTCTTTTAATCAACCCTGTAACTACTGGCCGGTGTTGATGAATTTAATACACGTGAGTATTTAATTGTTCCATGATAGCACCATTTTCTAATTGTAAAATGAACTAAATAGCTCCTATTACTCGAGCCCGATTGGTGAAGTTGTTTTTCGGTTTATCAGGTTTATCAATCATCTTTTTAAATAAACATGTAACTTTTGATTTCACGCGCTAAATTATGTAATAATAAAAAAATGAGTAATTCTAAATACAACCCCAATTTTACTAAATACAGTCATTGTATATAATCGCTATAAACAAACCTATTAAGGGGTGTTTGGATCTGATTCTTAAAACTGCTTCTGCTCCTTGAAGGAGCAGAAGTTGGAGTGTTTGGGTGAAAATGCAGAAGTGATTCTGATGCTCTAATTTACTCCTAGAATCAGTTTTTTTAGAAGTTAGGGGGTACCAGCTTCTGAAAACTGATTCTGATTCTGCTTCTGCTTTAAAAAAGAAGCAGAAGCAGAATCAGTTCAAAACACCCCTAAATGTTCCTAATTTAACCTTTTTGCCCCTTATCGTGACTATCTCGCTGACCCCTTCTTCGGGATCTATAAACATGCCTAAAGTCAGTAAAACAACATATTGAACCTCGTTGCTTCCCTCATCCATAGAAATCGTGAAGCCAATCCGGAACAGAAGAGAGAGTAGGGGCTCATAGTCCAAAAGGAATTGACCTTGGATTCATCTAGGCATAAATGGGTATTCCATGAATGGTGGAAAAGCTCCAATTTTGCAGATGGGTGTAAAGTTGTACGAATTGTTTAGGTGATTGAGCAGCAACCAACACTTTTTGCAGGGAGAGGGCAGCTAGCTTCATAGGGAGATAGTAGTTCGCGGTTAAACGGCCAAAAACTCCATGCTCAAACAAACCCATTGAACATTAGAGAAGATAGAGACTTCAAGACTGGGTGCCAACTACCAAAGCATGTTGATAAAACTCTATTCAAACATTGTTTAAATGGACTTTATCTTCAAAACAGTGGAAAATCAAATCTCCATCGGAAGCTTATGTTCGACCACTTCTTAACATAACAGATGCAAGGATAAAATAATAATTTCAAGTAATCAGAGGTTGTATTCATAACAGATGCAAGGATAAAATTCCGTTAACAAAAAGTAAAGTTGGAGGTTACTTTTCTGGCTTTATTGGTTGAAGTTAGCGTAGATGATCATTTTAACTATTTTTTCGTATTTTTTTTCTTTATTTTATTAATAAAATATATTTTAAATATAATTTATAAATAAATGAGCAGAATCAGCCAATACAGTCACTAAGTTATCCGATTCAACTGATTTCAATGTTCCCAAACGGGCTCTTAGTGTGAGAGTAGATATGTCCTTGTATAAGCTATCTTGATTTGATAAAGTAAGAACATTTAAATTGCAATATGAAAAATACCTACTAGTTTTTGTACATAAATATTATGTTATTAATATTCTTACATCGAATTATATTTATTTATAATGAATAGTAAATATTGTGTGAATATATATAAGTAGAGAAGTTCTCCTGTCCGAACGTTCGAACAGGAGCCACCGTCCGAACACCGTCGTTTTGGGTGGTTCTTTGTCAAAATTTTTGATGCAATTTTTATGGAACGTTCTTCATCAAGTCTAGTTTATCCAGAAAAAATTTCAGCTAGAAATTCGATCGGGAAGGCAGTCAAATAAGTTTTTGAAGTTGAATGCATTTTTCTATGTATAATTTAGCACAGTCAACTTCAAAAAATTATTTGTCGGCCTTCCAGATCGAATTTTGAGCTGCAATTTTTTGTGGATAAATTAGACTTGATGAAGAACATGCAATAAAAATTTCATCAAAACATTCGACCGGGAACGGCCCCAAACGGCAGTGTTCGGACGGCGCCTCATGTCCGAACATCCGGACAGGAGAACTTCTCTACTTATATATATTCACACAATATTTACTATTCATTATAAATAAATATAATTCGATGTAAGAATATTAATAACATAATATTTATGTACAAAAACTAGTAGGTAATTTTCATATTGTAATTTAAATGTTCTTACTTTATCAAATCAAGATAGCTTATTTTAAAGTTATAATTCTCCGTTAATTTATTTATAAACAACAACAACAACATCCAAGCCTTAATCCCAAAAAAAATTGGGGTCGGCTAACATGAATCAAATTATGATATCGATGTCAAACAGAGAGCCAGACAAGGATGAAAAAAAGTAAGATAAAATGGATAAAATAAAGATAAATAAATATAAGATAACAATAACATAAGACTATAAGAAAGATAAAAGATATAAAGATAAAAGAGCATAAAAAGGCTAGAAGATAAAAATAACATAAGAATATAAAAAGATAAAGAAGATAACAATAAAAGAAAAGAGATTAAATATAGAAAAGACATCAATCGTCCACACAGATGTGTGCTCTCACTTTGGTCTCTCCAAACCCATTCTGTCATCCAACCCAAGAAGACGCATATCAGGTCTGATTCTTCTAATCCAAGTCTGTTTAGGTCTTCCCCCCTCTCTCTTCTCTGTCTCTTCTCCCCACCCCTCAAGTCGTCTAACAGGTGCATCACTCGACCTTCTACGCACATGCTCAAACCACTGCAAATGAGATTCCTGCATCTTATCTTCTATAGGTGCTACTCCCACCTTTTTCCTGACTATCTCATTCCTCAAGTGGTCTTTTATGGTATGTCCACCACATCCGCCGCAACATGGGCATCTCTACCACACTCATCTTTTGAATGTGGCATTGCTTCACCACCCAATACTCTATGCCACCATACATTAATGCATGCCTAATTGTTGTTCGATAAATTTTACCTTTCACTCTAGTTGTCATACCTCGATCGCATAGAAATCCTGATGCACTCTTCCATTTCATCCACTCAGCTGTGATTCTATGACATACATCTCCATTTAATTCACTATCCTTCTGAATCATGGAGCCAAAATTTCTATTGATGTTAATTTATTTATAATGATGTTAAATTTGAAAAAGAGACTTGTAGATATATTTTATTTAGTATGAAATATGAACTATGAAAATGAGTTAAAACTGGCAAACTATACACTATAATTTAATTATTTTTATAATTTATCTTTAATGGTTTTTGAATTCGAATATTTGAATAAGATTCAAAAAAGATTTGAATATACCAAACAAATCAAATATGAATACAAAATAAGATTAGAATATTAAATGAATTGAATACGAATATTCGATAATTATACGAATACGAATAATATTGTCATGTATTCAGTTCGATTTGATTCGTTTACAACCCAACTTATATAGCATAAGCTAACATGGCGTTGTTCATATACATGTGGCCTCACTTACATCTTTTATAGATAGTACGAAATAACATAAATTGTAGGTCTTGAATGGGACTTAAGTTATGAGGAAGTCTGACTGAGCGTGTCTCATCAGCCCCTCGTGAAGAGGATATTCCATTGGCCCTATGGTGGTTGATCCTAGTGGTGCATATGGATTAGTTCTGTTCGATGTTAAGTTGATTTGTTTGGATGGCGGTCAAATTGATCTCCGTCTGTGTTGATAATGTTTTAATAGAAACAAAATAACTTTTAAATAACAAAAGAGTAAAATTGTCATATACTCGTAATAAGTTAAAGAGTTGATCCAAGTCGCTTAGATTAGTAGTGTTTCGAATCAACTAACAAATTTTGCTTAGTCAACCACATTTATTCATCCAAGCAAAGTTACTAATGAAGTGATTGTAAGTTTTATTAATTTTTGGCTCACAGCGAGCTTAAATAGCCGTGGAAACACGACCACACTTATAATTGGGTGAAAACAATTGTGCTTGTGTTTTCCTTTATTTTATATGTGAGACTTAATATTGAAAAGGGAAACAACGGTGAATATGTTAACTATCACAAGTCAATTATAATAATATTGATTATTGAAATCGCTATCAATAATATCAACTATTTGAATATAAAACTACAATGGTACGGAATCATTTTTCGACTGCAAATAACCTATTTAAAAAATCCATAATCAAATAGGCTTTATTTGGTATAAGATTATTAATTTGGTGGATTGATAACATTCTCAATGAGTTATATGCCATATATATTAGAGTTTGAGTTATGTATTACTTTTGCTATTTCTTTAAATTTTATGTAATACGGAGTATGTTTAAGAGTTTTAGTACCTTGTAATCGGTCAACATGTGATATTTCATACCTCCTCCGCCCCCATTTATTCTTCATCATTCATTTTGTGATGTTTAATGAATGATAAAAGTAGTTTCACAATTAGTATTAAAAGATAAAATCAAACAACTTCCCTAGATTAGAAGTTTGATCTATTGAATCTAACTATAGATTTGAATATGATAAAATATTGATATCTTAAATGAGAGTTTGAAAATGATTTAATTGATAGGAGTAGTGAAAACTAAGAATATATATAATATTAACGGATATCATATTATCTAAGGTCATTTTCCACGATCATTAAGGAAATTGTTAGAATGTTCTTTCACTAGTTATCTACTTATCTCAAGATGTATACCTGCCAATGAGAATACATTTATAGCTAACATCAATAAATAGCACTTTATCCATTCTTTTTCCTCTATCATTTCGAAAAAACAAGAGATATGAAATAAGTAATGTACAATTTCTCAGTGAGAAATAAAGACAAAACAAAAAGTAGATAATATATATTTTACTTTTATAAATCATGGAACCAATCAAGCATGAAACAATTCATTCATTTTTAATTTTGTAGTATTTCTCACATTGTGCCTTACAAAGTTATTTTCAAAATCAAAGTAATTTGCGTTGAGGGATTTGAAAAAATGCTTAGCATGTGTTTCTCTAATTAAGTAATGATAACAAGTTTGATAATTAATGAATTATATCATGAATAAACTACAATGTAATCCCTCTGTGTCAATTGTTGAATGAGATTCATATTTTTTGCCAAAATTTGTCACATTTCCTTGCTACATATTTATTACCTATCTCCTTTTTCACATATTTCTTTTGGATCTATTTCTTGTCCAAATAAAACAAAATGTTAAATATTTTTTACCTCGGCTTGCACAACCTTTAATTTATAAATAATCAAATACGACCTTGTTTAATTTTATTATACAGGTGTCAATAAATGATGGTGGCATGTATAGATACTAGATCAAGTACATTTTATATTTTTATTCGCGAATAAAAAACTTGAATGTAAAACAACATTAGATATTGGATTACTTTATTCCTAGATGAAAACTGCGGATTTCCTTCGGGATAATAACGAAGAGAGCACAATAGTGAGGTGACTAGGTGAGACTGATATAATGATAGTTATGAGATTTTTAGAAACATTACTTAAATAAAACTTATTAATAAAAATATGGCTAAATGTTAATAAAGTTCGGTGTCAGTGTCACTTAAGTGTAAAAATTGAACATAATTAGTTACTACGATCAAAGTTATTACTTTAGCCACTACATGTATTGTCACATTTTTGTATATAATCTTTATTTTAGTCATAAATTTGTAATTATTTTATATATCTATAATACTATCTTATTTTAATTAGTTATGAGAGTTTCATTTTTATGTCATTTACATATTTTTCTTTGATTTTGTGTGTAACAATGTATTAAATAGCACACTACAGTAAGTTATTAAAAATTGTATGAATTTAATTTTTTATAATCTTAATAACAACGGTCAAGTATACTATTAAGTAAGTTTGTGGATTATTAAATGTGAAAGACAAACTACTACAACTGAATAAAAACAACCAAAATATTGTAATTTAAGATACCTAGATGAATAATCTTCAAAAGAAAAATAAACCATTTTCATATGTAAAGAAGTTTTTAAGAAGTCATATTATTAGAATAAAATATTAAAAAATTATGTTTAAAGAAGTAATTATGATATATGCATAACACAAGAACATTACCGCAAATGTAGTCTCCTCTAATAATTTGAACACACTCGTTTTGCATTCCCCTCCCGCGACGGCATCACTTCTCTCAAGATATTGACCTTTCGCACCCAATCACATGCCAAAGAGAAAAGTAATTAGCTTTTCTAAAGTAAAATGAAAAAGAAGTCTTAAAAAGATAATGTTTGCTACATTTTGGACTTTCATGTCAGTACTATATGAGCAAATGCCTTTCTCGACTTCGTCTTCATCCATAAGCATATAAGTACATAACATACATAATCTCTGGCATATCCTACACCTCATCCCGACCTCAATCAATCCAATTTTCAATCAACATATTCTCATGGTGTTATCCACCGCGTTTTGAATCAATCATATTTTGTTGTATTGTAGCAATTTCTTTGTTCATTTTGACTTTATTTTTATGCATCTAACGGAGATAAATTTTGGCCGGAAATTTCATAATTCGTGTGTCGTACTAGCATGCACTAGACCGAGTTGAGAATTGAGAATTGAAAGTCACTGCGGATAGAGGTGTTTTCGATGAGCGAATCTTGAAGATGTCGAATCAAGTGGTGAAGGTTAGGAGACAGACACTTGCAACTTGCATGACATGTTATCTTTGCAACAAGCTCTTCAGAGATGCTACTACTATTTCTGAATGTCTACATACTTGTGAGTCTCCCCCCCTCTCCCTCCCTTATACTTCTATTTAGTTATGTTGGTTATGTGATGAATAGACGTGTGTCTGTATAAAATGTCAAAGTCGGATTTCTATTTAGCGATCTAGATTTTAGATTAATTTATTGACCGCATTGCACTATGTTCTTTTTTGAATAATTGATCTATAAGAGCTAACCATTTTCTCTCTCTCTTGTGTGGTTTCACAATAATATGAGGGCTCCATAGGTAGGAGTTTGTAGGTCGAAATGAATGAAAGTAATCAAATATGTTGAAAATATATCTAAAAGGAAGTGTCTCAAAGATTATTTTTGCCAAGCAATCAAAAGTCAACATTTATATATTATGATGATGAGCACAATAAATTTGTGTAATTTCGCTACCAAAGGGAGCTTGAATGTCCGATTACTTTATGATGTTGTAAAAAAACACTGCATGGTTCTTCATTTCCATAGTGTTGAAAATCTAGATGCACCTTATCACACAACATATAGACTTGAAATTGGTAAATTTTTATTTGCAACATGAAATCGTGTGGATAACACTGATTTTATTCTTCTTTGTTGCATGTTACCCAGTTTGTAGGAAATGCATACGTAAGAAGCTATCGGAAGAGGACTCTGAATGTTGCCCAATATGCAAAATTGACTTGGGTTGTGTCCCGATGGAGAAGCTCAGGTTAGAGGTTTTCCTTAACTCTCACTATTTATTAAGCATCAAATGTGTATGCATTGCAGTAATGGGGCCTTGGGGTAACATTTCCGAGACATATTTACCATTAATCACTAAATTAAGTACTACCACCGTCCCATAAAACTTGGCCAGCTTTCCTTTTCTGTCTGTCCCAAGATACTTTGCCATTTCCATTTAAAGTAACAAATATGTGGCTAAAGTTATTTATCTCTTCTCTATACAAATATCAATTACTCAGTTTTTATTTCATTAATCTAAGTGCAAGTCAACATTGACCAAGTTTTATGGGACAGGTGGAGTATTATCTATGAAATTTTTATAAAGTAAAAAACTTCCACTTCAATAAAAACTTTAGTGAACATGGGGTGACAGAGCTTGAGTTGGCTGAAACTTCTAGGTGGAACAATGAACTTATGGATCATGAGATACTAATCTATGATATCATTCAATGGAGGTTGCTATTTGTGATTTAAACCTTTTAGCCTGTTTTCACTCTTCTAAGTTTTGACAGTAATATGATAGGCGCAAGATTATTAATTTATAACCAAATTATTCACCATCAGAAAAATAGCTACTCATTGCGCTTATTTTTAGTTGTTTGTTGTGATTCAGAACTGCAACAATAGGGAGCGCTGCAAATAGTAGAATAATGTATTTGTTGCGGTTCAGAACCGCAAAAAATAACTTTTTTTATTAAAAATGAATTTTGACTTATTGATGCGGACGTGCAAAATAGATAAATATATTCACATTTCTCTAAAATATAAACTGAATGACTTTGTAAAATCACACATTCACCTTTCCGGAATTGAGGAGATTGAATTCCTCCCATACGAGAAGATGTTTCCAATTCATCAAAACAGGAAGATTTCTCCCATATGACTACTAAAGTAAATTGGATATCACCACATAATAAAAGCATATTTTCACCAAATACACATAACATATATACATAAAAGTAAATAACATACCCTGAAGTGAGAGGAGAAGAAATATTGGAGGCAACGATGTTGCTATGCCGAGGCGGTGACATTGTTAGGCGGAGTCGTTGTTTAGCGCTGCTAGGCGGCAATGATGATTGGCGAATGTGGTGCTAGACGAAGGTGCGAAGCGACATGATGAGCGGAAGAGGCGTTGTGAGACTGAGGCAGTGTGGTCAGGACTCCTGGAAGCCGATGGGAGAAAGGCAAGGTATTGGGCGTTTGACAGTGGTAATGAACGAATGAGGGAAGCTGATAAACTTTTGTCTATTTGTTGCGACTCCGTTTAAGCACAACAATTGGAGTATCTTCTGAACCTATTGAATGCGGTTAAGCTTAACACGCAACAATTAACATTACATATTTCGACCTTTTAATGCGGTTTCAAATCAACCGCCACAAATAATATAAAAAAGTTGTTTATTGTTGCGGCTCACCACTGACCACAAAATTTCATATGATTTGCTGCGGATTATCAATAAATATAGCAATCAGGTATTAAAAATATATAAAAATGGGGGAAAATACTATTTTAGTGCGCTTAGACCCAAAACGCATCAAATGGGTTGACGCAAATAAAAAAATCTAGCAGTGATTGATGCCCTTAAAACTTTTGTAGAACACTTAAAATTCAATCGAGGTGTCGTATATTGAAATGGGTAATAAAGATTATGAACTATGGCCACATTGATTGCTTATGTTGAGGTGAAGTCATATTGAAATGGGTAATAAAGATTATGAACTATGGCCACAATGATTGCTTATGATATTAAGACTCCTCTTTCTGAAACAAATGTAATTACGTTTTGTATATGTTATAGTGTGAGATTTATCCAGGTGCATACCTTGCCTTTTTTATTCAAATAAAAACAAATGTATAGGACACATGAGGAACTCAGTAATATATAATAACTTGGATTTTTTACTCACACCATTTGCACCAGCATGTACACCCCACGTGTTATGTCGATTACCCATTCATCAACATCAACTCTATTCATGTATACACATTCTTTTATTGGTATATTAGTCACATATGGAATGTGAAAGTTGAAATAAATGTATTGCTCTCTTTGCCTACAGGTCAGATAATAATATGCATGTTGTCAGGGCGAAGATATTTCCTTATAAGAGGAAAAAGGTAAAGGCATATGATGTTATGCATTCTATTACATTCCCTCTGAAGCGAAAAGAGAGATCATTGTCATCATTAGTGGTTAGTGCACCTAAAGTAACCACACAGTCTGATATTACTCAATCTGGGATGACCGGAAGAAGATCAAAATCTAATTGTAGAAAACCATTACGACGATCCACTCTTTATATTAAGAAATTTATCAACAAAGAGGAAGGTTCTGCTGAAGATCGACTCGGGCACTCTATAGTACCTGATATGACTCTGAACAAACTTAAACCGAATGTGAGACATGTAAGTTAAAATTGTCTTAGTGCTTTCCATGTATCAATATGTGTTATTATGACATTTTTATTTCCTTAACATGATCATATAATTAACTCATGTTTGTTTCTAGAATCTTACTAGTGTTGAGCCTTCTAGTTATCCAACAACTCATAATGATGTAGAAAATGGCACTGAAGAGTGGAAAGATGATGTTGATATGTGGAGACCTTTAAACTGTTTGGTTGAAGTTGCAAATAGGAGTAAATCATCAAGATTTACGGCAAAGGGTTCTGCTCTCAAATTAGAACCTTCACGTGTTTCTAACATTGATCGATGTGTCTTTGAAAGTAATACTAAAGAGAACGGACACAAGTTCAATGTTCAAAATGAAATGGAAAACAATGGTCTTACTCCGGATTCTGAAAAACCTAAAAAATTCAGAAGGCTTCGCAAGAAAACACCAGCTTTTGTGGACTCATGTAGTTTTCCTAATGTTGTGATTGATGATGCAAGTGCTAAATATGAAAAGGATTATCCAATTTGGTTCTCATTAGTGGCATCTAAAGAACAGTAAGATTTTACTTTCCTATGATAATATATATCATAATATATTAGTAATGATTGAAGATTTTATATTTAGCCATGCATCATATTTCTCATATTTTTGTTCAGGGAAGGAGATGCACCATTGCCTCAGATCTCTCCTACTTACTTAAGAATAAAGTGGGTTCCGTTCTTCCCTTTTCACATTTAGTTTAACAAGCAACACAACCCTTCAAGTAGAAACAAATTGATATGTAACAAGCATGTTACATCTCTATGTTGTTATTGGAACCTCTAAGAAGGAAATAATATATGACAGTTGTTTTACATAATTAACAAATATCACAAAAAGTGCAATTGCACATGATTTATCCCCCAATAAATTGATGATGAAAACTTAGTTTAATTATATAGGCTTGGTCTTCTAATAATATACCCAACTTAAGGCAATGTGTATTATTGATTGATCATCACATACTAAGGGAGGTGATTCTATGACTGAGGATATATATAATTGTCATGAAATGCTAGAAAACAATGACTCATAAATATGTCCTTTCCACTACAATGCTTCATATTTTAGTTCTCTAGCTTCGACTCAATTCAACTCTGCACAGGGTTATAATCGACATGTATGTTTTTCATAAAGATAAAGTTCAGGAGACAAACTATCGAATTTGAAATGCATTACCCCAAAATACTTGATAAGGGCACTAGATGCCATGTCGACGCTTAAGTAATTTACATTTAAATTGTGATCTAAGCACTCCATTGCGTACAAGGACTGTTTTGAAATAGGAAATGTTAGTGTTCTCTTATAAAATCCAATATGGTTTGTGTGTTTATTTTGTTAGTTGTTTTTGGCAGGGATGGGAGCATTCCAGTTTCTTTCATCCAAAAGTACCTTGTGAGGAAATTGCACCTTATGCATGATGATGAGGTATGACCCTCATCCTTTGGTAATTAATTTTATGTATCCTCGTTAGCAATTGTGTTTGACGTGAGCTTTAGCTAGCTAATGTAGCTTCAACGTCAAACCGATTGAAATCACATAATCCTTCTTACTGGGGCTGGTTTGGAGTTTAAATCTACTGTTGCTTTTTTACTTTATCTATTAGATTACTTGTCTTCATGGAAAGTGTATGGGCTTCTACATTGTATCTATGTCATGTCTTGATATCTCATACTCCCTTATTTCCTTTAGATCTTTCTCCCTCTCAATGAGAGTTAATTAGGAAGCATCGTATTAACAACAAGTTTGAACTTTTAAAGCGGGTACATTACACTTTATATTGGCATAAGTGAGTTAAAAATGAACTATTACTAGTAATTGACATACATTTCACTAAAGATGATTTATCTCTAGAAATACAATTCATCCATAATCTGTTTTGTTTATTAAAATCCTATTTGTTAATTGAACTTCCACATATGTATATCTAATCCATCCAATATCATATTGATCTGATGTTTATAGTGCTAATCGGTCGTGACAATATGATGTTTTTCAAAGGAGATATTGTTAATCATTAATAAAACCATTATTCAACTTCCAAAAATCATAGCTTTTAGCGCACTTAGTTTTTTTAAGGATCTCAATATATCAAAGTCACAGTTTATGGACATTATCCCGAAAAGCAATCACGTGAAAAATGTAACGGTTACAGGTTGGTTGTGTTGTGCAAAGTCGTAGTGGTTACTGATTACAATCGATTAGCATTATATTCTATTTTCATGCACTTTTTTTTTGGATGTGCATGAAAATGTTCAATATTAGTCAAATTCGTTTAAATTGGATGACCACACAATGAGTTTAATAGATTCAATAACTAATAGAAATATATAAATATTGATAAGTCATAATGCCACAATAGTGGGCTAATACTATGAAATGTCTTATTGATGAACGCATTCATACTCAATCTAATATTATCAGTGGCGTATTCAAGAATTGAAGTGAGTGGGGGCGAATTCATACTACTCTCTAGGTTTCATAAAAGTCTTTCCATTTTTTATTGAGATGTATAGGGAATTCTTTTCATTTCCCCCTTTAGAAAATTTTGCGTGACTAATATTCATTTACATTTTTCTTACTTAACTAGAATCATATATTTCAACTTTATTTTTACTTTCTTAAACTCTGATCCAAATCTAATCGGGAAGAATTTCTTGAGACGAAGGGAATATATACGGAGTATTATTTCACGCATGTCACAAATACATGAACACTTTAACAAAAATAATACAAAATTCATTATAAATAAAAACTAGCAGTCAACGAAAAAATATGAAATCATACTTAACAAGTTTCACCATGTGAGAAATAAATTTGACACAAAATTTGTAATTTTTTGATGTCATGTTAATAAATAAATTTTTAGATTTATTGTAAATTGTGAATGCAGAATTTTATCTAAAAATGAATTTATATGAAGTGTAAAATGTAATGAAGTATAGTTTAACTCTAAATGAATCAAGTACAGAGTATAGTTTAACTCTAAAAATGTATAAATATATACTAAGTCACTTTAAATCTGATTAAAACTTTAAGAAATGATACAAGAAAGATAATGAAAAAAAAGAGTTTGGAGCAAAAGAGTCAAGAAAGGAATCGAACCCCTAATGCAATGGAAGACTACAACTCATGCATGCCCCTACCCACTGCACCAAATTGTTCTCTATGTACAATTTGTGTAATTATTGTATAAGTTACGTATCTGCAGCACACAAATATATGTATAATTAATTTTTTAAATACATACATACACATGCACGCCCACACACACACACACACACACACACACACACACACACACACACATATATATATATATATATATATATATATATATATATATATATATATATATATATATGGGGGTTGGGTGGCGGTTGGGTGGGGGCAGCTGCCCCCTTGCCCCCACCCTGGACATGCCACTGAATATTATTATACTAAATTTGCCTTCATATTGTGGCCTTTGATTTACTGACAACAATCTGATTTACTAATACTCAGGTAGAGATTAGATGCATGGGACAATTGGTTGCGCCAACATTACAACTGAATAATTTAATTGATCAATGGATTCAGATGAGTAGTAGTGGTTCAGACAAATTGTCAGTGAAGATTGGTACATCAACAAAAGATTTTGTGATGGTGTTGGTTTACGGTCGCAGACTTCCAACTTCATAAAGAAGACGTTATTTTTTCCCGCCTTCTTCAATCAATGGTGTTCAATATGGTCATAGAGTTCCAATTTCTTGAAATATCGGTATTTTCTTCACGATAATTTCAACACTCTCGTTTTTTTTTTCCTACAAAAGTACATGGTGTATAATATCTACACAATATCTAGTATCTAGACAATATCTAGACTAAAGAGATATGAGCTAGGGAAATGTGCACCATGGGCAGATACATGAAATAATGGACTACGCCCAATATAAATTACATAATCTCGATACTATGACCATATCTAGAATGGATGATGGTTATCTATCTATCTATCTATCTATCTATCTATCTATCTATCTATCTATCTATCTATCTATCTATCTATCTATCTATCTATCTATCTATCTATCTATCTATCTATCTATCTATCTATCTATCTATCTATCTATCTATCTATCTATCTATCTATCTATCTATCTATCTATCTATCTATCTATCTATCTATCTATCTATCTATCTATCTATCTATCTATCTATCTATCTATCTATCTATCTATCTATCTATCTATCTATCTATCTATCTATCTATCTATCTATCTATCTATCTATCTATCTATCTATCTATCTATCTATCTATCTATCTATCTATCAGTGTAGTTTATGTTTATTGACATAGCGCGTTTGTAACTTGGTTAGGCATGAGCATATAGTACAAACTAGAGAGGCTCATGGACTGGGAAAAATGTTAACTCCTACCTATGTCCAAAAGTGGGTGTGTTGTTTTTTTATCAATCTTCCAAGATTTGGATATAGTCGGCAAACTCCAATGGTCCTAATTACTTCTGTTGGTAAATAAGTTTATTCATCTCCATGAACGTTAGTTCGTACTGTGTGGAAACTAATATTGCCACTTTATATTGAACTGGGACGGTTAGACTATGATGTAATTTTACTCCGCATTATAGTTTTCTTACTTTTTCTTATTCAATTTTTATTCAAAACAAACCCAACAAATAAAAAGAAAATATAGGATACAAAAAAAGTGGGACCATGCCAAACATCTCTCCATGAGACCATAATAGAAAGATAATTGTTGTCGGCGTAATCCTAGTGCTAGGTAAGGAGGGTCACAATGGGTACATGTGATTCCCAATTGCCCAAAACTTTGTAAATGTTGTCATCGGCATGTGTATTTTTTAGCTAACATGAGGACTAATATATATATATATATGTGTGTGTGTGTGTGTGTGTGTGTCTATATATATATATATATATATATATATATATATATATATATGAGCGAGGACGATATTTGCAAAATTTTGAATAATTGTGGGATCATCATATTTTAGTGTGAGTACTAACTGATGAATTAAAAGTGCGACTTCCTCTTAAATAAATACTACCTCCGTCCCACTAATATTTGGGCGAAAGGAGGTGATACGGTTATTAAGAAAATTGGGTTTAGGTGGTTGATATTAATTGATAAAGTAAGAATAAAGTAAGAATGATTTAGAGTCACACAAACTTTACCAATTTTGGTATGAGACAATTTTAGTGGGAATTCCCGAAAAGGTAAATTGAGACAATATTAGCGGGACAAAGGGAGTATAAAAATAAACATGTTTGGGGTTCCAATTACAAGGATTCCTTGAGTGGATTCATAAAATTTGGATAAGAAGTTGAGCGGATTACCCCCGATTGAACATGCAATTGTGATATGGATTTTAAATAGCTATTCCACGACGACGCTGTCTACTCATATTATCTAGTCGTCTCGCTAAGCACAATGCATGACTGGGTATCCACAACACCATGTACGTTTTTCTCATTAGTGTTGATATTGCCTTTCCTCTTCCAATTTATGTAAGACTGTGTTTCAAGCTTTCTCAATTTCAAAGTCAAGAGATTCAAGATTTAGAGCATTGACTTCTTAAAGACATGCAAACTGTTTTTTTTTGTTTTGAAAAAATTATACTAAACACAAGATAAGCGAACTGGAAAAAGAATTTTTGGGACAATGAACTTTATATAAAAAAATGGTCCCTCATAATGATGCCAAGAACTTGACTAGCTCGACTTGCAATTATATAACAATCAACTGTAGTAATAAATATGGTGAAATATATTCACACAAAAATATTTGTTTTATGAAGTTCAGAATGTGAAAACTAAAAGTTAAAACTGATATAAAACGCATTGATTTTCTGGAATGTTCAATATTAGTTTCTTGACAATTCTTGTGAGCACGATGCAACTATTATATTTCCGACTCTGATTAAGGCAGTAAGAACGTGATTTTCTCTATTCGTGAGTCCCATTATGACTCTATTCGTTAATATTAAAACATCACACATGCACGATATGAGATTAGGCATATCTCTTATTCAATACTCGTGTGCCGATTCTTCTGGAGCATGTTTTATATTGCAAATTGCGTTAACCATATACACCTCTTGGGTGTACTAATGCCTGAAATCATAACAAACACAAATACATTCAAAGTTACAATTATTTCAGATCTCAAAAGTTAGGTTTCAAACATAAGTACAGACATTCTTTTCAATCAATAATAATGATCTTCAATTATCAATGTAGTTAGTGCGCAAAAAACTTCATTGGATGTCCGAGCGCGTAGCAAGAGAACTAGTTAAATACTTATCAAGTTTTCAACTCTGTTAACTAAACTACATTAGTTAATTTACTCCATCAGTCCCAAATTGTAAGATAAATGTACTATTCACTTGGTCAACATTAACCGCTCTTAATCTTTAAATTTACACTTCCTCCGTTTCTTTTTAATTGCAACAGTCAACTTTTCAAAAATTTGACCATTAATATCTTTCATTCCCTATTAGTAAAAAATTTTAAAAAATCAGATTTTGAAAATTTAGAATGAAAAGATTTTAACAATATTTTTAAAAAAATTAATTTATAATACATTAATAAATAAAATATACTCAAAGTAGAATATGTGAACAGTGTAAAAAGTCCAATGTTGCAATTAAAAAAGAACGGAATTGGTATATCAAAAGTTTATAAAATTTGAATTATTTTTTTCCAGGTTTCGTAGCGGTTTTATTGTAGTTTCTGAATACGTAATTTTGTCTTCTGAAAATAAATTTGAGTGTTGAAAGGGATCAATTTGCTTTTTCATCGGTCAAACAACGTAAACCGTAAAGTATCTTACAAATTAGGACGGAAGAAGTAATATATATATATAATTAAGTTAATAAATATAAAAATATACTCCATACTTACTAATAAGTACCACATAATAGGTAAAAACGTAATTATTATTATATAACAGTTCGTTTACAGTTCTGCATACACGTTTTTCATAGAAACCAAAAACCGGACTGTTAATAAAAGATATGAACCGAAACGTTAAAAAAATTAATGTTGGAACCGAACTGAACCGGATCATAACGTTTCAGTCCAGTTCGGGTTGTCGGTTCTTGGTTTCAAAGTCCTATCCCTAAAATGTACTCCCTCCGTCCCGTTAAGATTGTCCCAATTTTTCTTTTCAGTCAGTCCCACTAAGATTGTCCTATCCAAATTTAGTAAAATTTGTGTGATTCTAAATCATTCTTACTTTATTCTTACTTTTTTTAAATTCAATATCAGCCACATAAACTCACTTTTATTGGTATGTGTGCCACTCCGTCTTGTACCATCGTTAGTGGGACGGAGGGAGTATTAGTTATAATGAAGACTAAAACGTAAGATTAATAAAACATCGTATATATAAATTAATGAATTGTGGGTAAAACAATTTATAAGATTTCTTAAATATTTGATTGCTTATTGATGTTAGTAAATTTTACATGTAGGTTAAATTTTAGATTGGTTTATGAAATTTAAAACATCCATAGTATTAGTTTTAAAATTGGGAAAAATTAATTAAAATACCCCGAACTTTGAAGGGGTGCGAGATAAACACCCCAAACTTTCATATGTAATTTGAATACCCCAAACTTTATATATAAAGTTATTGTAACACCATGGTCACGTATCATTCCAAAAATTTATGATGTTAATTGCATAATTTAAAAGAGTAAATTGAAAACATTGCAATTTTATAGAGTTTAAGGGGCGGGGATATTATTTAGTTTACATTGAAAGTTTAGAATGCTAATTGTATCTTCATGAATGCTAATTTTTTTTAAATTATGAAATTAACACCACTTATTAACATTTTTGAAAAAAATAATACAAAATCATGGTGCTAAAATAACTTTTTATGCAAGTTTGGGGTATTTAAATTACATATGCAAGTTTGGGGTGCTTACCTCACACCTAGGGATGGACTCGGTTTGGGCCGGGCCCGGTTCGGGCCTTGAACCGGCCGGGCCTCGGTTCAAGGTATGTGAGGCCCGGAACTGGCCCGGGTAACCCCCGGGTCCGGGCCGGGCCTCGGTTCTATTTTTTTTGGCTTTTCCTAGTTAACCCCCAACCCCCCCTCACCCCAAACCAACCCTAACCACCTCAAATGGCCCAAAATACCCAGCCAACCCAAAAACTTAAAAAAATTCAAAAAAAAAAAACAAAATTGGCCCGGTCCGGGCCTGAACCGCCCGGGCCGGTTCACCTTTTGAAGGCCCGAGCCCGAACCGAGATCCCACTGGGCCGGGTGGCCCGAACCGGCCAACCAACCGGTTCACTGGGCCGGTCCGGGCCCGCACAGTAGCGGACCAGTCCGGGCCCGCACAGTTGCGGGCCGGTCCGGTTCCGGGCCGGTAGGCCCGGCCCGAGTCCACCCCTACTCACACCCCTTCAAAGTTTGGGGTATTTTAATTATTATTCCCTTTAAAATTTTATTACTAACTTTAACATTTACTTTCCAGCCGAAAGCCATTAACAATATGTTTGGTAATTAATATTTTTAAATTATCAGTATTATAATCATTTTTATTTATCAAATATATAACTTTTGATTTTGTGGCTAAATTATATTTTAATTAACTTAAGTGAGTTTTAAGTTACTTATGCTTTGAATTGATAGAAGTTATCATTGAAGATCATTATAACTATTTTTTTAATAAGAGAGTTTTCTTCATTCATCATTAAAAAATATTTTGATTATTTTAAATTTATTTAAATCAGGAAATTAGTGAGATCAGCCAATTTAACCAAAATTTCATTAGTTTCAATAGATTTATGACTTTTTAAAACATTGTGTTAAGGTATTAAAAAACACTGGCCCAAAGGGTTTGATCCGGGCCAATTAAAAAATCACCTGCCCAAAATCTGGAATAACCTAACCCTACCCC